GATCTAGAATTGATCTAGATCTAGTGATCTAGGATCTAGTGATCTAGGATCTAGTGATCTAGGATCTAGTGATCTAGGATCTAGTGATCTAGGATCTAGTGATCTAGGATCTAGTGATCTAGTGATCTAGGATCTAGTGATCTAGAATTGAACTAGATCTAGTGATCTAGGATCTAGTGATCTAGAATTGATCTAGATCTAGTGATCTAGGATCTAGTGATCTAGATCTAGCGATTGAAATCGATTCAGCTTTCCAAGCTTCTTTAGCTTTCAAACTTGAACGTGAATTTTCAAGTCCTTGGATCCAAAATGTAAAGGATCCAAATATTCAACAAGTTATCCTTTAACAAATTCAGATTTCTAACTACTGTACCGGACTCTAGCAAACTTTGCACCCAACTTTAGGGACATCGGAATCAAATCACGATAAGAGTTCCTCAATCCGATGAAAACAACAGACACTGGCTTTAAAAATATTCATTTTCGGCAATATTTTTTCGGCTTTTCAGAATATTTGAAAAGAGCAAGGAAAAAAGGAATCTTTCATGCATCAGACGTTTTCCTTTTTTTTTTGGTTACCCGATGTTTCATTTAGGCCGAGTGGTCAGTCAGTCGAGTGTTTTCTGGTGTGTCGTGGACGGGAATCAAAAAGAAAAGAATTCATTGTCTTTGTGCTCTAGAGATTGTGCTCTACAACTGAAACAATTCACATAAACAACTCTTGTTTATGAATCAGAAGAGGAATCCGAATGGAAAATCGGTGATAGGCTGTGCAGAAAGTTTTTTTGTCGTTACTTTCGTTGAAAAATAACAAATTCACGAATTAAACTATGGTTTACTGTAAATAAAAAGTGACCGGTAAATTAACAAGAGAAGATTACAAGGGAAGATTACAAGGGAAGAGTACAAGGGAAGAGTACAAGGGAAGAGTACAAGGGAAGAGTACAAGGGAAGAGTACAAGGGAAGGTTACAAGGGAAGATTACAAGGGAAGTTTACAAAGGAAGATTACAAGGGAAGAGCACGAAATCAAGGTGGCCAATTGAAATGAGATCTAGACCATCCGATGCAGAATTTTACTCTGATTCCGAATCTGCTGTCCGTTTTTGCTAAATAGGTCGGAATAGCAGGGAATTTAGCCTCTCTTATAACGCTTTCACGTGCATGAAGAAGAAATGGTTGCGTAGTGTAGAAGCAATTTCGGAATGCAAAGTTGTGGGTCGGGGGTTCGACTCCCTTTAAGTTTTTCTTTTTTGTACAGCTGTTTTATAGTGTTTTCTAATCCCCTTCTCTTCGTAATTGCTAAATACTCAAAAATTTTGTTCTGGAATAAGTCGAGAGCTACATGGTACAAGAAATCTTGCTTGGGTGATAATATTAGGCTCTCCAGAAAGTCTTTTCGTTTCTTTGAAAAGAGCAAACGGTCACAAACCTATGGTTTGCTCTATATAAAAAAAGGCCGGTAGACTTAGTCTTGGCTACAGTACCCTTCTGTCTAATAGTGATGAGTCCAATAAACCAAGTTGGATAATGTTTGACTAGTCTGACTTCTGACTGACTAGTCAAAATTCAAAACTGGCAATATCGTGTCAAGAGAAAAATCTATGTGCTCTTAAAGCACACATAACCATGGTGTTCTTAAAGTCGAGAAATGAAAGCTACAACCTAACCCAACCAAAACATATAGACCACAAAAAGTAATCAATCGAAAAATCTCTTGATTTAAATTTTAATCGAAACTGAGTTACAGCAAAAAAAACGATTTCATTTGCCATTGAATGGATTGGAGTCGGGATTTCCCATCTATAGGGGATTATTGAAGAGGAAACGATTGAATAAGCATCAGTCAATCATTCATTCTTTTTCCATTCTTTTTCCTTTTCAATCTCATCCATTACACGTTTTCCCCTCAACTATTTGGATTCAGCTTTTCGTTTTTTTTAAGAGAAACGATTGAAAAAAAAAGGTCAGAGAAATTTTTTTTTCTTGTCTGATCGAGGGTTTAGTTTTTGACGATTCCTTGAAATGAAATGTGGATTGAAACAAAATGCAGAAGATCTTTTGAAAGAAGATTCTGGGGTTAAAAAAATAGTTCTGCCTTTGTCTTGTGTTTGATTGTGTAGCAGTGATGGATTCCATTCGTTTCACAAACGTTTAACACAAATATGCAAAACAAACAGTACATTTTGGTGTTTACATTGAAAAAAAGCTTTCAAAAACCCAAAAACCTATTTCATTTAAACATTTTGATCAAAGCAACGATCAAGATCGATCGAACATCAACAGATTCTTGTTTCATTAAGAGTTTAGGCAAAGGAATGATCAAACCAAAAAGACGAACAAAAAGAACATCGGAAAAAGCAGAAAACTGCATAGATTACATTGGAATTTGTTACAATCGTAGTGACGAATTATGGCAAGATGAATTTGGAATGGAGGAATGGAAGATAGATTTTGATTAAAACGGTGAACATCTGTGTGATTTGCCTTCAGGTGAAGGGAAAAGAGATCCGGGGGAGGGCCCATTAAAAGAAAGAGAGAAAAGCTCCCATCAAAATCCCAATCAAAGTTTTCTTTTATCCATTTCATCGGTGATTTGACCAGGCTTATGCGTTCAGCTAAAATGAGATCGCTGAAAGGGTTGAGGCTTTCACCTGGAGATTCATGAAAATGGGATAGGATCAACGAGAAAACAGAATAGAAAGGTAAAAAGTTAAAAATGCTATCGAATATCTTCTCTCTAAGGCAACTGAACCCTTACTATGACACTTTTAGCGTTTCTATCGATATTTATTGTTGGTCTTATAGTCACTATTGTTTGGAGAAGACTGCGGCTTTGAATCAAATGGAGGCTTTGAATCAAATGGAGGCTTTGAATCAAATGGAGGCTTTGAATCAAATGGAGGCTTTGAATCAAATGGAGGCTTTGAATCAAATGGAGGCTTTGAATCAAATGGAGGCTTTGAATCAAATGGAGGCTTTGAATCAAATGGAGGCTTTGAATCAAATGGAGGCTTTGAATCAAATGGAGGCTTTGAATCAAATGGAGGCTTTGAATCAAATGGGAGGCTTTGAATCAAATGGGGAGGCTTTGAATCAAATGGGGAGGCTTTGAATCAAATGGGGAGGCTTTGAATCAAATGGGAGGCTTTGAATCAAATGGAGGCTTTGAATCAAATGGAGGCTTTGAATCAAATGGGGAGGCTTTGAATCAAATGAAGGCTTTGAATCAAATGAAGGCTTTGAATCAAATGAAGGCTTTGAATCAAATGAAGGCTTTGAATCAAATGAAGGCTTTGAATCAAATGAGGCTTTGAATCAAATGGAGGCTTTGAATCAAATGGAGGCTTTGAATCAAATGGAGGCTTTGAATCAAATCGAGTCTCGGTTGATTGGACCAACGAATCCTCCGCGGGAGACAAAAGTTTGAAAGCGCTTAGTCGCTGACCGCTCCTTCCCGTTCACGAACTCGAAAAGGAACCCCCTATACCTCGATATGCCAGATGACGAGCGATTACGCGGCCGCACAAAGAACGCCAGGCATTTTGTTCTCTTTCTTTAGACATTTTTCTTTCACTTTGTAAATGGTACAAAAATAAGATATTGAGCTGTGGCTTGGCTTTGATTTGTGTTGGATTGGCTTGCCTTGTCGAGGATCTGGATCTAACTCAACCCTGCCCTAGTATGAACCTATTTCTATCGAATTATTTCAGCTAAAAGTATTATTTCAACACTTTGCACATCATTTTGTTACACCGATCGCTCTCTTTGCAGAAGAAATCTTTAGTTTGCACAACCAGTCAAACTATGGCAAAAAAAAAGCAGAACACTGTAGTCGATTTTTTTTTGATTAAAATGAGGAAGTCAAATAGCTTTCAATTTGGGGAAAACGGGAAATGAATGGGCGAAGAGAAGAAAGAAAGAAAGTGAGAGGGAAAGATAATTGAAGGGAGTTCATTTTGAACAGCTGAGACCCATTTAAACAAAAATTTCTTGCAAAGGGGAGAAGAGGACAACACTAGGCATACCGCAAGTCCGTTTGTTGAAAAGTTGAATCGAAATAACATCAACAAAAATCTCATCTAAATGTTTTCCTATTGCAGGAAGTGCATAGTGGTGCATGAAGTGCGAACTTCAGAGTGAATATTCAAGTTTGATCAGAGTCTGGGGACTTATCTATCTGTCTGTCTGTCTGTCTGTCTGTCTATCTGTCTGTCTGTCTAAAAATTTAAATTAATATTAAAAAAAAAAAAAAAAAAGAAGAAAAAAAAAAAAAAAATTTTGGGGTTGAACCCTCGACCGAGCTTTCTTTGCTCGTTTGCTGCTCTAACCACTGAGCTATCCGGTACCTTAACTTGCCAAGAGGAAGAAGGAAAGACAAGGTGGAAGGGAAGAAGAAAGGCAGAAAGAAAGAAAGGAAGAAAGAAAGAAGAAAAAAAGTAGATCAACTCAAAGTTCAACGTCTAAAAAGAGAGCAGCTGCATAGAGTTTTGCAGAAAATTGAAAACATTCTTGGAAATGATGCAGAAAACATCGATAACAGCTACTCAAGCTTGTTTACAAACAAAATTTGAACTCGAAACTCGTGCTTAACCGAAAAATTTCGTCTCTCCTTTTGCTTTAAAGTTCAAACACCGTTTTTGGGAAAGCTCTCCTCTTTTTTTTTTAAAAGCATTCATTTCAACTCCATTCATCCGATATTCAATAAATTTGCCCATTTTTGAGTTTTTTTTCATTTCTATCACATGCGAATTTTCTTTCAACAAATCACATTTATTTATTAAGGCATTTTTCTACCAGTATTAAGAGGAAACAAGGCAGTTGAAGCATAAAGAAAGTAAAAGAAAGTAAAAGTAAAGTAAAAGAAAGTAAAAGTAAAATAAAAGTAAAGTAAAACAGAAAGTATTCAGAATTCACAGTGATTTGTGCACAACTATGAACAAGTGAAAGGAATTTACAAAGAAATTTAAGTCTTAATGTCTTAATGTGGGAAAAGTCTTAATGTCCCTCAGAGACGAGTTTATCATAGGCATCGAGAGTGAGGAAATCACTCAATTCCTCTTCAACAACGAATTTCTGCAGAAGTTCGGCTGCCTGAATGGTTTTTTTTTGATAAAGGCACTTGCAAGCTGAATATTTATTGTCAAAATTTAAAAGACAGCAGCTCTAATGTCTTGATTTTTTTCAAAATATCTTGCAACTTCATAGCAATGTACTTTTCTCTCTTATTCACTTGACCAGCTGATTACAGTTGATTTCTAACTGCCCTTAATTATGGCCGTGGCGCACTCACGAGCGTCTACAGCGGCGCACTCACGAGCGTCTACAGCGGCGCACTCAGGAGCGTCTACAGCGGCGCACTCACGAGCGTCTACAGCGGCGCACTCGTCTACAGCGCAAGATTCCGGCTCGGGCCCCGTAGTCGCACTCAATTTGGTCCTCCTTTAGCCTTTTTTTATTTTAAATGGCACAACTACAATATATTCTAAGGTTTCCTAAAGAAGTTTTACCTTTATTGCTTAAAACACGGCGAAGAAAATGCCTGTAAAAACAGACAGACAGACACTGCTCTTTTATATATAGTAGATTCACCTCGGGCAATCTGTTCACGACAGATCCCGCTCGAATCAATCTCAACTCCAACTCGGCGGCAATTGTTTCTTTCACAAGTTTAGCATCAATTGCTCGTCCATCTGAAAAATGCAGTGGTTCTTGCTTGCAGTTGATTTGCACAGAGAACAGAGAATTGCAAACGAACCCTCAAGCTTGGCATCATGTCTAACCCATTGCCAGAGTTGTGCTCGAGAGATTTCTGCTGTTGCCGCGTCTTCCATTAAATTGTACAATGGCACACAGCCCACACCTCTCAGCCACGAATCCATATAGCCTAAATGAGAATGTTTTTGAATGGAAAATCCTTCAATACCAATGTTAACAGCGACATTTCTTCTGAATCCCTCTTCGGTTCGATGTCCTTTGGGCACAGCAGTCAAGTCTTCCTTTGTCGCTTGCCAATTGAGGGTTTTCTCGATTTGATTTGGTGATTGCATCACACTGTCGAAGACCTAGATAAGTAGATGTTTTTAAAGTATTGAAGGTAGATGTCTAGAAGGTAGATGTCTTAAAATGAACCTCTCTAGCCAAAGGAACAAGTCCTGGATGGGCTACCCACGATCCATCATGTCCATCCATTGCTTCTCTTTCTTTGTCGGCTCTCACCATTGAGAGAGCTTTTTGATTAGCAGCCTGGAATTTTTTTGTCACTCTTCTTCAATCAAAAAGCTTCTAATGACTTACAGCATCTTGTCTAATCGGGATTTGCGCGGCCATTCCACCCATTGCGTGAATTCCCCTTTGATGACATGTTTTGATCACCTCCAAGCTGTAGGCTCGCAAGAATGGTGAGGTCATGCCTAGAAAACTCAAGTTTAAAACTCTAAAGATACTTTAGATTGTAGATTCTAAATGATTTATATCGATTTTATCTTAAACGAACCAATTTGGAAACGATCGGGCAACAAGAAGCGTCTGTGATTGCGGAAGACTTTGATGTAAGAGAAGATATCTAAAAACAATCTTCTATACAATCTTCTGTACAATCTTCTATTCAATCTTCTGTACAATCTTCTGTACAATCTTCTGTACAATCTTCTGTACAATCTTCTGTACAATCTTCTGTACAATCTTCTGTACAATCTTCTGTACAATCTTCTGTACAATCTTCTATACAATCTTCTGTACAATCTTCTGTACAATCTTCTGTACAATCTTCTGTACAATCTTCTGTACAATCTTCTGTACAATCTTCTATACAATCTTCTATACAATCTTCTGTACAATCTTCTGTACAATCTTCTGTACAATCTTCTGTACAATCTTCTGTACAATCTTCTGTACAATCTTCTGTACAATCTTCTGTACAATCTTCTATACAATCTTCTATACAATCTTCTAAATCTACTATCTTCTAAAGTCAACAAAACAAGAAAAGAAGAAAATGAAAAACCAACAATCCCATCGACCACAATTCAGCCCGACAATGTAATCTTTCAACGCATAGATGATCTCATTCATCTAGAATAGAAGAGTAAAGTATTTCTAAGAATATTCAGTTAAATGGCTTAGTTACAATACCTGGAAGGAAGCCAAGAGATGCTCAATGAGAACTGTGCATTTGATTGAACCGTGTGGGACTCCGAGTTTCTCTTCTAGATCAAATATTTAAATATAATTCAGATATAAGTGTCATCAATAGCTTTAGATAATACGTTTCTAGATATTCAGTAAATAAATTTGTTAAAAATTCATCAACATCAAAATCATCAACATCAAAATCACCAACTCACCAGAATATGCAAAGACATCGGCCCACAATTGAGCCTCTTCAGCGGATTGAAGTTTCGGTAAGTAGAAATATGGGCCACTGCCTCTCTCAAGCAATGCCTAAAAGATTTCGTGTTCACAAGTTTCTGTTGACTAAATTTAAAAACTATAAAATTGAATACCTTAGCATTGTGGAAGAAGAAAAGTCCAAAATCGACAAGCGATCCAGATGTGCTCTTTCCATCAATTTGAAGATGTTTCTCGGGCAAATGCCAACCGCGTGGACGCACTTTTAAGACTAAAAACCTTTCAGACTAAAAACTGTTGTGATTTAAATCTGAAAAACTTGAATACAATTTAAAGCTATAGCTTTAAAGCTATATATTTAAAGCTAAGCTATACCAGCGGGATCCTTTCTCAATGAGTATTCCTTCTTTGTGGCTGGATGAGTGTACGAGATATTTTGACGGATCGCATCGTAGAGATTGATCTAAATTAAACTTATGGATTGCGATCGTACAATAAATTGTGTTTTGTTGTAAGCTGTAGGCTGTAAGGTGTAAGCTGTAAGCTGTAAGCTGTAAGCTTTCAATTTAGACAAACTTGTCCATCCAATTGATTTCTCCAAGCCGGAGAGTTTGAGTCTTCAAAATCTGCCATGAAGACCTGAAAGCTATGCTTTAAAAGGATCTAAAAGATCTAAGATTTAAAGGATTTAAAAGTTAAGAGCTAAACGATTTAAAAGCTAAGATCTAAAGGATTTAAGAGCTAAGATCTAAAGGATTTAAAAGCTAAGATCTAAAAGGATTTAAAAACTAAGATCTAAAGGATTTAAAAGCTAAGATTTAAAGGGTTTAAAGCTAAGATCCAAAGGATTTAAAAGCTAAGATCTAAAGGATTTAAAAGCTAAGATCCAAAGGATTTAAAAGCTAAGATCTAAAAGGATTTAAAAACTAAGATCTAAAGGATTTAAAAGCTAAGATTTAAAGGGTTTAAAGCTAAGATCTAAAAGCTCTAAAAGCTCTAATAGTTCTTATAGTTGGATAAGATGTTTTCTACTCACGTTAGCTCCAGAATTCAACGCATTGATGACCATTTTTCGATCGGTTGGCCCAGTGATCTCGACTCGGCGATCCTAAAACATTATGGTAAACTTCATAAAGAAACTTCATAAAGAAACTTCATAAAGAAACTTCATAAAGAAACTTGTTTTGTATATTGTATTATTGAAATATCACTGATTTTTAGGAGATTTCACCTATTAACTGACCTTAAGATCCTCTGGAATTTGAGCTCCTCTCCAGTCCATCGATTCTCGAATATCTTTTGTTTTTGGATCAAAGTTCGGGAACCATTCGCCTAGAGATTTCGATTTCCTTTTCTTTCAACAAAATATACTTTAAACTAACCATTGTCAAGACTTGTTTGCACTTGTTTTCTCTTTTCCAAGAGCTCACGGCGACGTCCGTCGAACCTTCAAAATGTTTCGTTGCTTTTTAAGTTTTGAGTTTTGAACAGAACTTTGTAGACCGACGTTTCTAATATTAGGTTGGCAAGTTATAAACGATCGTTTTTTTGGTAATGTGTTTTTGGGAAAAAACGGCTTATCCAATCAAAAAAAACGGTTTGCTTCATTCAAAAGCCCTATCCTTAATCTACAAAATCGTTTTTTTTGAATTTTTGAAAAATGTTTTATTTTAGAACTTTTTCAGGCATTTTAATGTAAGAGTTGAAAATCTAAAATCCTGGTTTCTAGCATTCATGAGCTAATATAGCTTCTAGCTAACTGAGCTTCTAGCTAATATACTTTTGAGTGATTGCATGCTTTTAAAAATAAAACGCTTTATCGATTACATAGTTTCCAATCGAATCCAATCCAATCGATCGAGCCGTTCTCTTTCTTTTAATCTTTCTTTTTTAAAATCTTGCTTAAATTCAAAGGAAAATGGATTAAATTAGCACAAAAGTGCATTTTGAGGGGGGTGGGACAAATGCGACCTTTTTTTTGCTGGAAAAGGCCTTAGGCAAGGCCGTAGAGCTTCGAAAATATTTCCATAGAAGGGCATCGTATGCGTAGATTCCGAATTTCGACAAATCAGACCTCGCTGACACGTCAAATTTGGGCTAAAAGGCAAAAGCTACGCAACTTAACGCTTTTCCGCTAGTTTTTGCCTTTTAGCCCAAATTTGACGTGTCAGCGAGGTCTGATTTGTCGAAATTCGGAATGTACGCATACGATTCCCTTATATGGAAATATTTTCGAAGCTCTACGGCCTTTTCCAGCAAAAAAAAGGTGCGCAAATGTCCAGGTGCGCAAAAAAAAAGGTCGCATTTGTCCCACCCCCCATTTTGAGCCTAATTTAAAAATCAACCTTCCGAAGATTGGGTTGTTCTAAAATTTTGGGAAACTATGTAATCGATAAAGCGTTTTATTTTAAAAAGTATGCAATCACTCAAAAATATATTAGCTAGAAGCTATACTAGCTAGAAGCTATATTAGCTAGAAGCTATATTAGCTAGAAGCTATATTAGCTAGAAGCTATATTAGCTAGAAGCTGCCAGAAGCTCAGTTAGCTAGAAGCTATATTAGCTCATGAATGCTAGAAACCAGGATTTTCAACTATTACATTAAAATGCCTGAAAAAGTTCTAAAATAAAACATTTTTCAAAAATTCAAAAAAGCCATTTTGTAGATTAAAGATAGGGCTTTTGAATCAAGCAAACCGTTTTTTGATTGGATAAGCCGTTTTTTCAGAAAGCACATTACCCAAAAAAACGATCGTTTATAACTTGCCAACCTAATAGAAGAGTCGACTCTTCTATTTTTCAATGTTTCTCTCAAATTCTTTTGCATACTACCGTTTCAAGAGCTCAAAAATGGGTTTTTTTGTTAGCTTTTCATCCGGTTTTTAACGTTATTAAGCTTTTTTGGTCTATAACTATTATAGCCTTTGAAAGTCTGAAGCCTTTGAAAGACTTTAAAAAGTAAAGAGTACTATCCGAGAGTTTATAAATCCGAAAAAATAAGAAATTTTGTCTAAATAGGGTCTTCAATTGGAATAAATGCCAGTTTGACTGATGATGGGAACAATTTTGCTTACGTTTACTTAAGTACTTAGTACTTGGTACTTAGTACTTGAGACTTAAGTACTGAGTAGTCTATAACTTAAGTACTTAAGTCCTTAAGTCTTAAGAACTTGACTCTCACTAGTTGTTGATCAGTTGGTCCTAGCTTTTCAGCGCTTAAAAAGTGGCTAGCTAGAGTAACAGCTAGCTAGAGTAACAGCTAGCTAGAGTAACAGCTAGCTAGAGTAACAGCTAGCTAGAGTAACAGCTAGCTAGAGTAACAGCTAGCTAGAGTAACAGCTAGCTAGAGTAACAGCTAGCTAGAGTAACAGCTAGCTAGAGTAACAGCTAGCTAGAGTAACAGCTAGCTAGAGTAACAGCTAGCTAGAGTAACAGCTAGCTAGAGTAACAGCTAGCTAGAGTAACAGCTAGCTAGAGTAACAGCTAGCTAGAGTAACAGCTGGCTAGAGTAACAGCTAGCTAGAGTAACAGCTAGCTAGAGTAACAGCTAGCTAGAGTAACAGCTAGCTAGAGTAACAGTACTAAGTACTTAAGTACTTAAGTCTTAAGAACTCGACTCACTAGATGTTGGTCCTAGCTGATCATCAGTTAGTCCTAGCTTTTCAGCGCTTAAAAAGTGGCTGGCTAGAGTAACAGCATGATATGATTTCTCATGATGATATGATTTCTCAAATGAAATCTTGTTGTTAAATTTCATGTAACTTTTGAATTAAAGCCTCCTAAAGTCTTCTTTTCTCTCACTCACTTTTTGTGTAAATCTCTGATGAATCTCAACGCATCGGGCGTCAAAATTCTTGCATCTCCACTAGTCATTGGGGCTGTTAGCTGAAAAAAAAAGAAAATTGACGGATGTTGCATTGATTGTTATTGTTTTTAGAACAAAAGAGAATCTAATCTATCATGCATTTCTCTAAATAGCGACAGGCACAGAGCACATTTGTACAGAATATATTTATCCGAAAGTGTGTGGAAAAGACAAAAGAACATGTAAAAAACATATTAAAAAAAGAGGTTTCTTCGTAATCACAAATTTGTGCTCGCACAAAGGAAATGACAGATTTTTTTTTGTTTGTTTTGAGATGAAAGACGAAAGACAAGCCAAGACCCAATTCAGCCCATACAGAAAAAACTAATGAAAAATCTCCAGGTTCAGTTTAAAAAGAGGATCAACATTATAGAGTTTTATGAGCTGAACCTGGAAATGAAAATTAAACAAAAGCCAAGCACAAGAATAGGTGCCAAAGTGGTTACGGGGGAATTTCTAGGGATTTGTTTATTTTTTGATACCAGTAAGAGGTAAAGTTTTAGTTTTTCGAGTGAATGAAATTGGTTATTAGGGTTTGTTTGCGCAATAGTATCAAGTCTATGAAATAAAATATATGGAGATGAGTCTATCTGGCACCCATGGCAACGCGTCTTACAGTTACGATCTCTTCATCGTCGGCTGGAGCTGTGGGAGTGCCGTGGAATTGAGCCTCTTCTGTCGATCCTTTGAGAGCGCCCGTCGATGAAGTGCCTGGATTGGGGATTCATTTAGTTCTGCTTGAAATCGATGCTTAATGGAGGCTTCGAGGAGTATGGAGTCATTACGGGTTTTTGAACTTTGACTTTTTGAAGACTGGATTAAAAAAGTCAAAGAAAGTGCGAATACCGGGACCAAACCTAGCAGAACAAACCTAACCTATCTAAATTTCGCCCTGTAGCCTAGCAACTGGCCAGTGTAGCAGTGTGCCAGCCACCGAGTGACTTTTGGCAGCAGTGTCGTCTTATGAAAGCCTCCCAAAAATTTCCGCTTTATTTCCCTTGCGATTGCGATTGTGATTGCTTTTATAAGGCGAAATTAAGCCACAGGTCGGTCGGTGGCCGAGTTGTAAATCGCTACGCTAGAAGGTGGACGAAGCTAGGTTCGGCGCCTACACCGGTATGTTTCTTTGCTTTTTTAGTCCAGTCTTTAGTTCAATCAGTTCAAAAAGTCCATAATCACTTCATGCCTTCTCATTGTTAGATTTAGTTTATGACTAAAGAAGTTCATCTGCTTTAGTTCATCTGCTTAATCTTATTCGGATGAAGTCACTTTTGGTAACGTTAAAAGTACTCTAAAGGCCTAATCTCTTGGCCCACTACAGTATGCCGATCACAGTATTCGCGGTCAAACTGTTATTGTCACTCGAACTTTTCTTTAGCCATTTTGTAGTGACAAGATGATAAACCTACACTACTTTGAAGTGTCCTGAAACAATATCTTTCTCCATTTCCTTATCAGTTTCTTAGGAAACCGAATTCACCTCCAGAAATCGCATTTCCAACATGATCGAAGTATCCAGTGCCGACTTCTCTTTGATGCTTGACCGCAGTGTATCCGTGTCGTTCAGCTGAGAATTCCTTTTCTTGCAATTCCGAGTAAGCAGCCATTCCCTTAATTTTTTTGACATAAAACTTTGAAAGCCTTGATGCAGTTACCCTTTCTCTGTATCCTTTCGCCAAATCGAACATGCTGAATGAGTTGGCGTGGAAACCGGCCAAAGTGATGAATTGATATTTGAAGCCCATGGCGCCAAGTTCCTAAAAAGATTTTCCGATAAAAATATTGAAATTTTAGTTTTTTCATTGATCAATTCAAAATGCTACCTTTTGGAATTTCTCCATTTGAGCGGGTGCGAGGTGTTGCTTCCAGTTGAATGACGGGGAACAATTGTAGGCGAACATTTTATCCGGGTACACCTTCAAATGAGACACTCATTGTAGTTTTCCAAGTGTTATTATTATCTTGTTTACGCGAAAACTCACTCTTCTCACTCCTTCAGCGAACTCTTTTGCATCAGCGATTGTTGGATGGCTTGTTTCCATCCAAATGAGATCACAATATGGGGCATAATCGACAGCACGATTGATGCAATATTGAAGGGCCGTATCGTCACGGAGTCTAAAGAATAGAGAGTTGATAGTAGACTTATCGACTTTCAGTTTCAGAACGCGGGAAAGGAATTTGGCGTCATACCGAAGCGGTGCCGTTTTCGAAAAAGCCCCAAAACTTCAAAAGCATTTTTCTCAAAAACTGGATGCTATGGAGTAAAACTGAAAAACACGTATCTCTTAGAATTTCAAGGTGGCGTTTCAAGGAGAGTTTCAAGGATTTCAAGGAGATCCCATACCCCAAATCGATGCTAAGTTGAAGCAGTTCCCTATTAAGTCTATTCACCTATGGAAACCTTCAACTGTTCTCCCAGCGGCTCGATCAATGAAGGGGTGATCACGCTCGTCGACATCACTGAAATCCATTGATTACTTGGATAGCTGGATCTTTCATAACCACAAAATATAAAATTTCTCTTACCTAGTCAACAATCTCGAGCTTTCGGCATCAGTTCTGGCAACAATGATCGTCGGCACTCCACAAACATCAGCCGCCAATCTTGCAGCATTCAAGTGACGAATGTGTTGTGATGTTGGGATTAAGACCTGAAGGCTTAGGCTTAGGCTTTTCGACTCATAGACATTTCCTTTGTATACAGAATAGCCTTAACAGAACAAACCTTTCCACCCATGTGACCGCATTTTTTCTCGGATCCAAGCTGATCTTCATAGTGAACTCCAGCAGCTCCAGCTTCGATATACGACTAAATATCGAACTTAATTAGCACTTTTATCATTTGCACAGTTTTTGTTAGTTTTTGAGTAGTCTTTTAGCGTTATCGTGACTTTTTTTTCAGACGGTCACTTGGCAATAAAACACTGAAAACTAAGCTTCCTTGTAATCTGGTAAAGCTTCCCGATCAAGATAAGCTTCAGAGAAAAACTATAGTATTGGAATGAATAAATTTAATAGAATTTGGAAAAGTATAAAGTTGGAAAGGCTTTCAAGGCCAAGTAGTACTTGTTTAATGACTTTAGTTTGAATAATTTCTTGCTCACCTTCATCAACTCAAAGCAGTTGAGAGCTCCACCAAAACCAGCCTCAGCATCGGCCACAATCGGCGCGTACCAGTCACGTTTCGATTGGTAATCATCTGCTTCAACAGCTTCAATCTGAAATTCTTGAATCGAACTTGAATCGATTTATTCACAATATTTTTATTTCAAACTTTCACTTATTGCTTTGAGCCTTGTCCCCAGTGAAAGTTTTTCGTATTTTAAGTGAATTTTAAGAAATCGGGTAAACAATCTCTCTCAAATCGCTCAAATCGCCAGCAAATTTCTGTTGTTTTCTCAAATTTCAAATCGTTTCACTGACCTGATCGGCTCTTCGCAAAGATTTGTTGATTTTTCTGCACAACTCGGGACCTGAGTTCGCCGGGTAAAGTGATTGATCGGGGTACTAAATAAATTTTTGTTTTTTTTTGTTTGTAACACAGACACAATACATATTCAACCTATTTGTCTGTCATGTTTTTGTCAAAAGATCTCAGTCAAAAGAGTCAAAAGATTGTAGAAACGCCGTTTTATAAAAGCCTCAAACTAGTGCAAGTTGTGCTCCCGGGTTCGAATCCTCTCGTCACCCTACTTCTCGCTTTTTTCAAAATTCCGCAAAACTTTTGAACTTTTTGAAGAGCTAGGGGAACTACTGTAGAGCTAGGGGAACTACTGTAGAGTGTAGAGCTAGGGGAACTACTGAAGAGCTAGGGGAACTACCGTATCCAGACTTGGAAGCTTTTCTCTTTCTTTCGGAAAAGTTTTATTTGATTTTGCCTGGCATGCTACATTTCCATTTACCCAACTTACCATGTCGCCGGCTGAATTAGCATCGGCTGCCACTTGCCAACCTGAAAAATCGAGTTTAAAATAGAAATGGTTGAGAACTTTAGTACTCATTTGACTCAATGAACTCACCCGAAAGATAAATCGCTTTCAATCCAGCTCTGACCATTTGTGTTGCTTGATTTCCAGTTTGAGCTCCCAACGCTGGCACAAAGGGTTCTGTAATCGACGAGATAATCGTTTTATCGATATTGTTATATTGATATTGTTATATCAAAATCGTTATATCGATATCGTTATATCAAAATCGTTATATCAAAATCGTTATATTGAAATCGTTATATCGATATCGTTATATCAAAATCGTTATATCGAAATCGTTATATTGAAATCATTATATAGCTTTTTTAATCATTGTAATCGACGAAAATTAAGCAAACCTGTGTGTAAGAGTTGCCAGAGTTTGTTCGCTCCACGAGTGGCCAGCGTGTGTTCGATATCAATTGAGCCACTGAAAGGTACAAAGTGATCTCCTTGTTCAGACTTGATTTAAACACGAAACACGAACACTTACCGCAACTTGAGCACATCCTCGACTTCATACGATCGCTTTATGCCTTGGAAACGGCCCTTTGGCGCGTTTTTCACAACCTGCAAATAATGAAACTGTGGTTTAGACTTTAAAATAGCTTCTAAAGGGTTTTCTTTGAAATTCCTTTAACTCACTTGATAAAAATTCTTTGCCACAGTTTGCGATGCCATTGTCATAGACAGATTATCACAGTGTAGGTGTCGTAAAGGTCACCACAATTTTCGTTTTGCCTTCAAATCGTTTCGATTTTCGATTCCGCCCTTTCTCCGCCTTGTTTTTGTTGTCGAGTTTCGGTTTATTTGGTGGAAAAGAAAATGAGAGAAGTCGAATTTAAAGAGAAGAGAGAGATGCGGTGCAAAGTCTGTAAATTCGATTGATAAGCGGATAGAAGAAGAAGAGGAAAACAGAGGAAAAGGAAGGAAAGGGAAGGAAAAGGAAGGAAAAGGAAGGAAAGGGAAGGAAAAGGAAGGAAAAGAAAGGAAAAGGAAGGAAACTGTTTAGAACAACGAAGTGTAATGAGTGAAGAGGAAAGGCAGCACAATCACTTTCATATTTCAACTAAAAATAGTCGGATGGTCAAGGGCGAAAAGAATTGTTGTGGAGATAAAGAGTTCGTTGGTAAAGTCACGTAGTTGAGTTTAACGACAGATTCCTTCTTTTTGTTAGTAGTGGCTTTGTCATTTAGAGTTGAGTCTAGATTTCTAACAAGAGTTTCTAACAAGTTCCAAAAAGAAACTTTTAAACGAACAACGCCTATCAAACTGACAAATCGATGCCCACGAGCCTTGGCTTTCAAGAAAAGCGTAAAGTTTCAGCTATTTCCTCTCACCTCACCTATAAGGGCGTGCCAGAGGAAGAAAAGTGGCGGTAGTCTAGGGAATAGTGCGTCAGACTATCAAACTAGTGCAAGTTGTGCTCCCGGGTTCGAATCCTCTCGTCACTGTACTTCTCGCTTTTTTCAAAATTCCGCAAAACTTTTAGGGGGAACTACTGTAGTAGTGTAGGTCTAATAGGAGCTAGGGAAATGACTGTAGTAGTTATCAATGTCAAAGTTATCAAGGGAAACTACTGTAGTAGTTATCAATGTCAAAGTTATCAAGGGAAACTACTGTAGTAGTTATCAATGTCAAAGCAAAATAAAAACCATACAAAAGCTATGTAAAAACTATTGCAATTCAAATAATTCAAAGTAAAGCTCGATATCAAATAGCAATTCTACCAATTCGACAATTTCAATTCTCTTTTATACTCGATTTCAAATCGATCATTGAACGCTTTAAGGAGAGGCAAGTAGTGATGGTGTGCGTTCTCGAGTTCATAAAACAGTTGCCGAAAAGAGAAAAGGAAAAAAACAATAGATCGCCAATCGCTGGAACAAATATCTAAGATCTAAGATTTGAGAACAACGGGGAATTTGATGAATGAATAGGGGAAATGATCTCGGAATCACTTGGTAAACGATAAAATTAGAGGTGAGAGCCCTCGTTTACGTACTGGGAGCACAAATTCATCTAGTTGGTCATTGGAGTTGGTCTGAACTTTGGGCTCTTGTAAACGCAGGCTTTGCTCAGGCTCAGGCTTAGGCTTAGGCTTAGGCTTAGGCTCAGGCTCAGGCTTAGGCTTAGGCTTAGGCTTAGGCTCAGGCTCAGGCTTTCAGGCTTTTAGATCTCTTTTCAGCTTATATTATAGAACCAAGTATGCCAGACAACGTGCGTTTATCAAAGCACAAAGAACAAATGAATTTTTGATTTGTTAAAGTAAATAGGTATCTAGAAACTAATAAAAGAATGAAAGATGATTTCTGAATGGTTGAATGAGATCACTCTGTTTATATATTGTTATGGATATCCGTTAGAAAACTCCGCCCACTCTTCCTCGTAAAAGAGTCAGACATTTAGGGCTAGATGCAAACAACAAAATAACCCAAGATACGATAAGAATATAGAAAAAAAAAGAGGACAAAGTACAAGGTTTAGCCTGAAAAAGTCATATGGGAGATCGTAGTTTATCTTGAGATTGGTTTTGATAAAGAATGAAAAAAAGAATGAGAAAAGAATGGAAAAATCACTGAGCAAAGGTTGTGTAGTTTATCTAATTCAATGGAATAAAAGTTTTTGATTAAATTATAAAGCTTTTGGTAGCTTAGATTTTTATCTAAACCCTTCAAAGGTTACCTTAAAGGTTAAGCTTAGGCTTAGGCTTAGGCTTAGGCTTAGGCTTAAGCTTAAGCATAGGACTAGGATCATGTTGTAGTAGACCCGATCCTGACGTTTAACCCAACCTGTAAGCCTGTAAGCTTCAAACTGTAAGCCTGAGGGTCCAGTTCAAGATAAAAGGTTACCTTAAAGTCTACCTAAGGCTGTACTTTGTACTCTGACAAACAAGCATTGTTTGGCACAATCTTTTAAAAGAAAAACCCCCACTAATATAGTCGAGTAATGGGATGACTAAAGAGCACTTTTCCCCTCAGACAGATCAACTCCGAGATCACAAATAAACAACAATATTTTTGGGAAGAGATTGCCCTTTTCTCTCAAACAATACACACAACTGTCCCCCCTTATTTTATAGCCTTTTCTCTCAATTTGTGTAAACTTTTTGCATTTTTTTGAGAATTATCATCACTTTGCTCAAATGAGGCAAAATAAACCCGTTTTTCTAGGCGGAAACTAATACAAAAGAAGAAATTGGAAAAGAAAAGACATTGGTGACACCAGTGTGACAATTTCTTTCTTTCTTTCTTTCTTTCTTTTCTTTCTTTTCTTTCTTAGATTTCTCTTTACTACACTTTGTTGATTGGTGGACCGAGAGAGACCAATTGCATTGCATCAGGTTGACGATTGGAATGGAGATGGGAGGGGGAAAATCCTCCTTCAGGCAAATGTTTCAATCAGAGAAATGAGTGTGATCATTGTGTTATAGCGGGAATATTGTTGGGAATGAAAAAAAGCAGAAGTTTGGGGAAACAAATGTTTTCTGCTTTCCGTCGAACTCATAAAACAGTACTTTGGCAGCAAAAAATCCTTAACTTTCAGGCCTACAGCTAACAAGTTTTGTTAGGGAAATCTGCTTAAGATATTGCTTTGCCGGTTGATAATCCTTACAATAAGATTTAAAGGTCCAGAAGTTAAAGAAAATAGATTTATGTGGTATAAGCAATACAAAAGCACAACTCCGAAGCCCTAGGGAAGAAAAAAAAGCTATATATTTGGGAAAAAAGAACCAAAGAACCAGAACAGCTAGCGGGATTGAACTCTCGATCTCTCTACTAAGGCACAGGACTCTTAGCTAATTGGCCACAGTGACTTATTTTGGGAGGATTAGATTCAGCCAAGTAACAATAACTCGAGCAATAAGTGAGGAAAGCTAACCGGGGAACCTCTTGAAGTTACTTTTTAAGACCACCGTCTGGGTGGCCTCGGTAGCCTAGTGGATAGTGTGCTAGAACCAAGCATGCCAGACAACGTGCGTTTGTCTAGAAGCGTCAAACTTTCTTTCTTCCTTGTTTGGATCCACTATCGGTTAGGCTTTTTGTTCTTTTAGAAAAACATTCGAAAATCTTTTTTTTTGACCAGTAATCTCTTAAATCATAATGAATTTTATGTAAAAAAAGGTTTAAACTTTTGAATAATTGACCTAACAGCCACTTTTTTTTGATATCTTTATGGTAACAAATAGTTTGCAAGAAAGTAAGCAAGTTGAACACTAGAACATCGACCTAATCTCTTTCTATCTCTTCCCATTCTCGATTCAGTTGATTCAGTTGACTTTTAGGAACTGTACTTGCAATTAGAACTGCTACAATATAGTCTTAACGAAACATACAAACACAATCAAATAGATTCACCTTTAATCACATCTTAATCACATCACTCCCCTGGCTACCCTCAGAACTTTTTGAAAATCCATTCATCTTTAAATCAAAAAGCAAGCAACGGTTTTGAATGAGGTCAAAATGAAAAAAACTGCAAAAGGAATGTGATTTGATCAAATGTTCCTTTAAATACAAATTCACTTCAAACATTTCCCCTCAACACTTGTTTATTGTTTTCCGCCACGTGTTTGTTATTTATTCGAAGAGAGACAAAACTATCTCACTGATAGTTTTGATCGGTCAATTCATTGAGAGAGAATGGAAATAGAGTGAAAAGAGAACGAGAGAAAAAACGAGAACTTTGTCCTTTTCCACCAATAATTCCTTGTGTCTGTAAACAACGATACTTTTTCAATTCCTCTCCATTCTTTTCCCTTTTTCTTTTCGATTTTCTGGCTTCTCTTATTTTCAAATCGGCTAGACGGGCCTCGTTTTGGGTGGGGGAATTCCCTGATCTATTTTGAGCAAAACACGTCATTTGTTCGATGATCAGAGATCTTTCGTAAAGAGAATAAACTTTACTAAAGAGATTAAACTTTACTAAAGAGATTATCTTTACTAAAGAAATTATCTTTACTTTAGAGATTATCTTTACTTTAGAGATCTCTTATTGATCACAGAGATCTCTCATTGATCACAGAGATCAGTAAGAGATCAATAATAATCAATAGATCAATAGATTCTTTAGTATCGAGATTCTTTTTGTTCTCTATTGATCTCTAAAAATTCTAAAGATTAGTATTGAGACTAGATTATTTGAGGAAAAGGGAAATATTGGTACAACAACTAGACAACATCTAGGATTGTAAGACAAGATGTTCGGCGATATGGTGACAAAATGTTCAACGATATGTTCAGCGTTATGGTTCAGCGATACCTAGACAAGATCAGGATTGAAATCATACAACAAACAGCAAAGCAATACTCAGACAAACTAGTGATCAGCATTTTGAATGTGCTGAATTCAATTCTATACATTCAAGAGTACAACAATATTACTATTGTTTGACTCACACTCTCCCATAAGCTTTTTATAAAACTCAAGTTGTTCAAATTGAAAGAAATCCCTTTAGCGCAGAAAAGAAAGGGATTTTCCGATTGATCTATTTTGAGACAAATACGTCATTTTCCAATGATTAGAGATCTCGTATCGTAAAAGGAATGTCACGCGTAGAAAGATCAATTGTTCACGTTGCATTAGCTAAAAGATTAAATGATTTCTGTACATCCGTTCTCTTTTTTTCTCAAAAACCTTTGTTCATTGACAGTTTGATATTGATTTGTGATCACAGATTAAATGAAAGACTTCAAAGCAGTAAAAAGTAGTCAAAGTAGGGGGGTGGGACAAATGCGACCTTTTTTTTTGCGCACCTGGACATTTGCACACCTTTTTTTTTGCTGGAAAAGGCCTTAGGAAAGGTCGTAGAGCTTCAAAAATGTTTTCATAGAAGAGAATCGTATGCGTAGATTCCGAATTTCGACAAATCAGACCTCGCTGACACGTCAAATTTGGGCTAAGAGGCAAAAACTGCGGAAAAGCGTTAAGTTGCGTAGTTTTTGCCTCTTAGCCCAAATTTGACGTGTCAGCGAGGTCTGATTTGTCGAAATTCGGAATCTACGCATACGATTCCCTTCTATGAAAACATTTTTGAAGCTCTACGGCCTTGCCTAAGGCCTTTTCCAGCAAAAAAAGGTGCGCAAATGTCCAGGTGCGCAAATGTCCAGGTGCGCAAAAAAAGGTCGCATTTGTCCCACTCCCGTTCCATTCAAAGAAATATAAGCAGTAAAAAGTAGTCAAAGTAGTAAAGAAAATGAAAAATTTGAATAAAAATCAATCGAAAAAACTTGAATTAGAAGATTTAGACTTTGAATTTGTTGCTTTTGAGGAAGAAGTTGTTTGGGAAGATTTTCTAGAAACAAATTGAAATTGATTCTTGAAATTGAAATCGCTTCACCTTGAAGATGAAGTGGAAGTACTTTTTGATGCTTTCGGCTCTTCTTGTTCTAAATTTTTCTTGTAAATCAAATCAATTTGATTTTTATCAAAATCAAAAATACATTGCGTTGCCGGGAATCGAACCCGGACCTTACGGGTGAGAGCCGTAAATCCTAACCACTAGACCACAACCACCATTGGGCTCCGGGCTTGAAATGACCCCTTTGACAACTTGGCTCAGGTTTTCAATAGCTTTTTTTCTGGTGAAAAGTTCTATTTGAATTCAAAAATTGACTGATAAGGCCACAACAACAAACCAGTTTTTTCGGAATTTGAGGAACTCTGTGACTGCATCGATGGAAGGCTGTCCCCATCACTTCCAAGATTTTGCTTATCAAGTCTAGACTTTAATGGATATAGAAAATTCCCCAATACTTACTTTGATGCTAAACTTCGAGCACTCGATGCCTCGAGACTTTCCACTTCTGCCGCTCTGAATATAAAAGTTCTTTTTGTTTTCATGGCTAAACAGACTCAGCAAATCCAACGTGCATTCGGTTGAGATTTTGAGCGGATAGAGATCTTTTCCGAATGGTTGAACTCTGAAAGAGTAGCTGATTAAGATACGTTTGGTTCTGTTTTGGCTTTTGGCTAAGGCTCAGGTTTGAAAGGTTTGAAAGATCTAAATTTATGAGTATTTGCCTTTTCAAGCTATAAAATAAAACCAAAATAGTTATATTCAAAAGAAACCTGATCAACGGTCAGCTGAACGCCGAAATCGTCATAAATCTCGAGTCTGAGCATCTCGACTTCAACCTGAAACTTTTTATAGAATTATAGAACCCTTTTTTGAATAGATTACCGCTGTAATCTCATCTTCAAACTGTTCAGCGGCTATATCAACAGCATCTTCGATAATCCTAAATCTTGATAATGATAATCCTACAACTTTATCATAATCTTACTAATCCATCAAACAAACCTATCCGTATAAACTCCTCTCGTAATAATATCATTGTAGACTGTATCTTTGAATAAAAGATGTTTCTCAAGCATCTAAAATCAAGATTTTTAGCCTTAATGAGTTCTGGAAAAAGATTAGCTTTAGATAAAAAGCTTTAAATTTAGATTAGCTTTAGATAAAATTATTTGCAATAGTAAAAATCGTACTTGTTCCTGAAATACAGAGGATCTTCTTCTTGGTGGTCGAGGGGGTTTTTTCGGGATCGTTTCAGGTAATTCAACGACTTTCTAAACAAAAACATACATTTAAGAAATAAAAGAAACAAAAAGATTCACTGATGCAGCTGATCTCACCTCAATTTGATTGACTTTTCGATGCAGAGGTGCCTGATAATCCTTTGACTCCAAAAGCTTTGACTTTACTCGAGCCGTGTATGGGTTTCTGGAAAAGTTTCCGATTAACTTTCGAATTTTAAAACTAACTTTAGAACTTAGATTCATTAATGTTTAAGCTTTTAATCTTTAAACATAGCCAATACCGAACGGTGGGTAGATTTAAACGAAGAGAGTTCGGTAGACGACCGTTGTTCGCGAGAAAATCGGAGAGCTCTCGATGAGTGCTTTTTATCTCAAATTTCTTTTGTATTATTAAGAAATTGACTTGCTAAAGTTTATGATCAAGTTTTCTAATAGTTACATTAAATAAGTTACAACATTGAGATCTTACCGAAACTGGATGAACTCGTTTGTACTGATCAGCTGACGAGGCTCTTTTTGGAATGTAATGGATACCTGAGAATAGTAAGATTGAAAGATCAGTGCGCCAGAAATGATGTGTTTGCATTAGACTTTTGAAAGGTTTAATAGATTCAAAGTTTAAAAATTCCGCACGATACTGACTTTCACTTACTTTTAGGGCTATTGTACATCGAAACTGGAGCCGAGGTGTCGATTACGGGTCTAAATCGAGAATAAGACTTATAATATTAGGGTGGTGCAAAAGAAACTGCCGATGGGTATCAGCTCTCATTTATCAGAAACGAGCGATGCTAACGGCATTATTTTTTTAATGTTTTGTTCGCATATTTGTTTGCTATTTATTTCGACATTTGAATTTTTTGGTTGTTGTTTATTTTATTTAAAAATGCTATATTTTTTTATTTAGATCATGGTCGAGCAAAAGTTTGTGCTACGAGAAGCATTAATGTTTAACTTCAAAATTGGAAAGTCTGCTGCCGAATTGCAGTAGACTGTGCTGCTCTCCTCTTTGTGCTGCTCTCCTCTTTGTGCTGCTCTCCTCTTTGTGCTGCTTTCGGAGATGGCAGTTTGTCTCTCAGGCAGTATCAGACTTGGTTTCAAACGATTCCGAGAGGGAGACGAGACTTTGGAAGATTACAAGCACGGTTCGAGGCCAGAAGTCGTGAACGAAGCCAAGCTGAGGGACGTTATTCAGGCCGATCCATGCCAATCTGCTCGAGATCTTGCGAAAATATTCCATTGTGATCATGTCACCATCGAACGCCATCTTTTTTTTTTTGAATTTACCGTCAAATCGGCAGTTTCTTTTGCACCACCAGGACTTAAGATGTATATGTACATGTATATTTGTAGATGTACATATATATTTGTATATGTACATGTATATTTTTGTACTTATTAACCTGATTCCAGCATAGAGCTTGTAGTGGTGTGAGATGATTTCTTCGGGATTTTTTCGCCATTCCGATGAATAAGAACGTGTCAACGTCATCAAGACATAATTCTATGTAAATGCTTAAAAATAACTCTAGATAAACAAAGCTTGAAAACTTAAAAAAAACTACAAATAAAATAGCATCAAAGACAAAGGCAAAGATAAAGATTTATTCTCTTAGAGAAAATTTCGATATTCTTGAATCGGAAAGTGGTTGAGCTAGTAGAAAGCTTTGTGAGATTTGAGTGAATGGTAGGGAAAGGAAAAGAGTAGACTGTGTGAAGAAAGTGCGTTCTTTTCCTTTTGAGAACGAAGGAGAGTGAAAGGAGAAGTCCAAAAGGGCATGATGGAGATGATGGGGTGTTGCCAGGGACACCCGTTCATTCCCCATCGTTCTCCCTCTCTCCTTCCACCTTTTCTGAAATGAACGCACCCTTTTCTCTCACTTTCCTCTTTCTTCTTTCCTCTTTCTTCTTTCTTCTTTCCTCTTTCCTCTTTCCTCTTTCCTCTTTCCTCCCCAGTCACCGATAACCACGGAAATTAGCCCAGCAAATTAGTTCGGTGATACTAAAAGTGGAACTCTTTCCCAGAAATTACTTCTTCCTCTTCTTTGATTGATTACACAAGGTGTATAAAGGCTGATCATCACTTACTAACTCTTTAAGTTAGTCTATACACTACAGTACACTATGAAGAACTGGATTTATTCAAAGAAAGTACAAAGGGATATCAGAGCTAGAGTTATACATAAATTACAGAGACAAAAACCTGTTTCAGTTTGTTTCTTGACAAATTTAATGACTTTGCTAATGCAGAACAGCATTGCAGAAACAGATATAACTCTTATAACTCTTATAACAAGCACATTTATTCACAATAATGTCGTACAAACAAGCTCAAGTACAAACAGTCTTACAAGCACAATCCCAGCACTCAACTTTAAAAAGCATAAACTTGTTGCACAATTGTTGCAAAGACAGTTCGTGAAATTGCATATTTCTCTAGATGGAAAGTGCTTCTTTTGTGTGTTCGGAGACTAATAATGGGGAGAGATTTTGCAAAGCAAAAGTGGCGATTAAAATCATTAGTTTCGAGTGGGGGAAACCTCAATTTCCGAGGCTCATTTGTGGGGGAGTTACCTAGATCTCTAGATGGAAAGCTATTCCAGTGTGATTTATGATCTCACTGGAAAAGATCTTAAATCTAGAGTGAAATAAAGCAAAATTGAATGGATATGCTTGCAAGATTTACGTTGATATTGATACAAGGCAATTTTTATGCAGAACAGCTTCACAATTGCCTGTCTGAAATTAAGAAATAAAGTTTTAGGGGGTGAATTAAAACTGGGTAACTTTGTAGTTGTGTAACAATGGCATTTGGCAACATCGGTAGCTGAATGGGTTTTTAGAATCGGTGGCTGCTTTGTTGGTACCATGGTACGTTTGGTAAGCCATTTATGGTACCATGGTACGTTTGGTAAGCCTTCAGCAAACTACAGTACACCGCGGAAAAGCTATTTTGTATAACTCTTATAAAAATCACATTTATTCACAATAATGTGGTACAAACAATATACAAGCACATAGGTACAACAATATACAATATACAATATACAAGCACAACCCCAGCACTCAACCCCTAAGCCCTAAATGGAAACTCATTTTTTTCATTGTTTTGATAGGATTTTTTTTTGTTGAATAGTAAATTTATAGCTAAAATGAGTACGCTTATTTTCTTTATTCTTTAATCTCTGAAATCTCAGAGATGACACTCCTTTCGTCGAGCAAAACTTTCGCGACAACTACTACAGTGTAAACGACAACCACAACCACCACGCAATTCCTCGTGGAGTATCGGAGTGAGAATATTTTGTATTCGATCTAAGTAACAATTATTCGAGAAAAACAAACGACATTAATCTTCTAATGAAATTGGAACAAAACGAGAAATGTTTGCGATCGTATGCCGGGATCGGGTTTAATTTGATATCGAGATAGACGATGAATCTCATGTGGCAGAGACAATGCAGTGTCGTGAGTTTTCCATATCGAACAGTTTCTATGCAACAGTCCAAATGTAAAGGTGAGTACTAATGAAATGTACAACTAGTATTGGACACTTGGTCCTTTTATGGGTTGGGGCTGGAAATACAAAACATGGTCGGCGTCGGGATTCAAAGCCGCGACATCTCGCTTACCGGGCGAACGCTCTACCAATGAGCCGACGCGTGTCCCTCCAGAATAGGGCCTCATGCCTTACTCTAGTATTTAGGTTCTTTTCCAATCAACACCAATGTCGAAATGATCTCAGTTGGCAATGAGAGGCTAACTATACAATAGTTCAAAGTTACGAGTTCAAAAATTCAAAACCAACCACCGAAAAGTGTGTTTGTTTCAAAAGAAAGTTGAAAGAAAGTTGAAAAAACGAAAGGAAGTTACAGACAAAAAACTCCAATAAAGAGCACAAAGGTGAATTGTTATGGTGTGAAGGTAAGTGAGATTGAAGAATATTGAAAGTCCTTACCTGTAAACAAATCGATAGCTGCTTTGTTTAGAATCGGTGGCTGCTTTGTTTAGAATCGGTGGCTGCTTTGCAAAAATTCAGCTCACAAAGCCATCGATTATTTGAAAGATTTCCAAACAACAATTTGAAAAAACTGAGTAGAGAAATCTTTCTTTCTCAAATCTTTTTTATCGACTCTTCCCTTTATTCTTTCTTGAATCAAACGTTAGTTTTACAAGAGATTTTCATCCTAGCTTGTTTATTTCGTTTAATATGTTTGCTTTTCTAGATATCTGTATTCAAATATTCAATTTCAATTCAATTAACATTACAATTTGTGTAAACTTTATTTACAAAAACATCGAAACGACAAAAAAAATCCTCAAAATAAATCACAAATCTCCGCAAAAACTCTTGCAATCATTGAATGTTTTGAAGTTGTTGAAGTTACCCTCTAAAATTTCTTCTTTATCTGAAATGATTTATGACTTAATCAGTTTCTAATTCAAGAATTCCCCACCAAGTCCAAAATAGCTGAAGCGAATGCAATTTTTGAGTCCAATCATGTACACATAACGGCCATAATGAATACCGCTCACCGCCTCGTTTCCTGATGAAGCAGGGAGATTGCAGATTGTGGCTGAAAGAGTATTTGAATCACTTTTGAGATTTATTGTCAACACTGATCAAGCTAATCTATATAAAAGATCAGTGTCCGTCTGTACAGGCTCTTTCCTCCTGTACTCTTTCCTTCTAATCTATATAAAAGTTCAGTCTGTCCGTCTGTACAGGCTCTTTCCATCTTTGAGCGAAAAAAATTGAAACGAAAAGCGAAAAAGTCTTAAAATCTAATATAGTTGTGGCATTTAAAATTAAAAAATTCGAAGTTGAGTGTCACTATCGGGGGTCGAACCCGGATCGCGTGCGTTGTAAAAATCGGCGCTCGCAGCTGCTTGACGACGGCAATGTTTGGGCTCAAACGCCTCAAAACTCAAAGCCAAAACCAGCCTCAAAACAAGAAAAACCCGTCGTTAGGCGGGTTTTATAAGATGTCTAATATAGGCTTTTATCTGTTCAACTTCTCTACTTTTTGTCGGACAACACCATTTCGCATTCTTGCACTCATATCCCTCATTGCAAATGTTTCCGTCAGAGCACGAGACAGCTAGATCCGGGATTTTCGCATCGGTTTTCAGCTCACAGACATCAACTGGAAAGAGAAAGGCTTGGCTGCGAAATTGGTAAACTTATTAGCATTAAACTTACTACTACATTAACTTACTACTACATTATAATAGGCTTTCACTTACCGACTCGGTTACTGGTTGAGTCGTTTTTCTTCGAACAAAACGATTTGCACTCTTTGTATGTGGCGAATTTGTTCTCCGTTCCTTTACATCCCAAATAATAAAAGGGAACGCAGTCACCTGAAGTCTAATAATTTAGTAAGTCTAATAAAAATAAGTCTTGTGCAGAAAAGTGGCTCTTTTCTGTAAAATCTTATTTAATGTTTTGATTTGAATGTCCGATTTTCTTGTCCCGTCTCTGGAGCCGTATTGGAACCGTATTGGAACCTTATTGGAGCTGTATTGGAACCGTATTGGAACCTTATTGGAACCGTATTGGAGCCGTATTGGAACCGTATTGGAGCCGTATTGGAACCGTATTGGAACCTTATTGGAACCTTATTGGAACCGTATTGGAACCTTATTGGAACCGTATTAGGAACCGTATTGGAACCTTATTGGAATCGTATTGGAACCGTATGGGAACCGTATTGTCGAGAAAATAAAAGATCGCTTTTATGATAAAGGGACGGAGCCCACTTTATAGGCTTCTTTCCGTATATTCTCTTCGTATTGCTTTTTCGTATTGCTATGAAACACTGAACTAACGATTGATTCTATTATTTTGTATTTTCTCGCTAGATTAGTATTGTGCTAGATTCGGAATAAATATCGAATAATCATTGCCCCCATCGGTATTCTCTCTCACACTGCACAAGTCTAATAAATATTGAATAGAAAAATGAACAAAATAAATGCGAAATTTTGGTGTTTACAAATTAGACCTGTTTTTGGCTCAAAGGCAAATTTCTGCTTTGGTTGATCGGTATCACAGCGCTCTCCACGATCTTTTTCTTGTGAACAATCTTGAGCAATAGCTAAAATCTGGAAATTCTAACAGGAAAAATCTTTGATAACTCTACCAGTTGATAGAAAGATCAAAATTGTTAGAAATAGCCACATTGTCCAGAAGAATTGGGTAACTAAATCACTAGAAATTATGCCAAATGCAAGGCCAAATAGACCGGAAAAAACAAACAAATCAAAAATCAAAAAGAAGCGATTTTGCGAAGAGAAATTTCTCTGTAAACATTTTGAAAGGAAACTTGGAAGATTTTTCAAAGGAAACTTGTTTGTGAAGTGGAAAATTGGTTTCAGCAAAGAGTACATAAAGTAACTAACTTTTGAAAAGTTTTATGTTCAAAATGAACTATCCTTTTTTTTTGAAAAAGTTGATGTTTTGTATAAGTTGATAAATGAACATGAAATTGATAAATGAATTTCTCTGCTTTTCTTTAAGACAAATCAATTCACAAACAAAATGCCAACGGAAATAGAGAAATGAAATTTCTTGAGAGAAATTTTCGTCTTATTGACGGCCTCGCCAAAAATGAGGAAATGTTGATTGAGAGATTGGGGGAAAGTTCTTCGATTTCTCACAAGTCCCGTTTTTTCAGTACTTTTACTTACCGCAAATACTGTAATAGTACCCCGCCCCCATAATGACGGGGCGGAGTGTTGCGTAGTCTAGCTTTGAAACGAGTTTTTCTCGACACTGGTTTATGCTACAATGCGCGCTTAGGTATCAAAAAATAGCCCTGAATTTCAGCTATTTTTTGATACCAAAAACGCATTTTTGAAAGTACGGGCGCTTCGAAAAAAATGAAATACTAAAAAACTTTTGCAACTACGCGACTGTACGAGGGGGGTGGGGTACTATTACAGTATTTACGGTACGTATTTCCTGGAATAAATCAAATTAAGCAGGTAGAATTCATTAGATTTCTCAGAAAAAAAATCTATTTTGAAGAAAAAAGAAAAGCGTTTATTTTGTCTTATTAGGTTGGGGGGAAAAGTTTTGACTCAGCTAACTTAGCTAAAATTTCAGCTACATTTCGTTTCCATTATCACATCTCATTTCTATTCCACTTTCCGAGCGTTCTCATGACTCTCGACCGATCACCTCAACAGGTGATCGGTGAATTTTGTAAACTTTGATTACCTCAACACCGATCACCTCAACAGGTAGGATTTTGTAAAATTTGTGTTTTCTATTTTGTAATCTTGAGGAAAAAGTTCTGACTTAGCTGCGAAAAATTCAGTTTTTATGCATTTTTTGCTGTTTTTTTGCTGGTGTTGTACCAATGTTGATCTTTGTATTCCAGATGAGTTTCCAAGAAAGAGAGCTTCGATTTTTGAATCCGCTGGAAACGGAAACATTTGAAGAAGTTGAAGAAATTGAAGAAGCTTGTCAAGAGTTCTTTGATTCGAGTCTGAAGGAGTGTTACTTTGACCAGATCCGAAAGCTTGCAGATCGATGGCAGAAAGTCGTAGATAATGATCGGTTCTTGAGAAATAATTGTTGTTATTTTTGTTATTAAAGTGCGCATAAAAATTGCAGTCAATTGCAGTTTTTCGCCGCCGAGTCGGCACTTTTTCCTCAACCTAGTAGAACAGAATTCTGTACTAGATTCTGTATTAATTCAAATTGTAAATCTGTATTCAAAATCAAGACTGATTCTTTACATCTTTGGGGAGTCTGTTTACTAAAAGATTTCTATCCGCAATTTGTTCTAAACGTGCAATCTGTGTGTTTGTAATGAGCGCGATCAAGCCTTGTAACCTTGTAACTCTTGGAAACTTGACAATTTTAAGCGGATTTGGCTAAAGTAAACAATAAAGCTTTATTATAAGAAAAGCAACAATAAGATATATATCGGTCTTATCTTCGTGACACTCCAATCATTCCACACGCAAGCGGCCGACTCTCCTCATTTCTCAAAGTCCACTCTGTTGTGCTCTGAAAGGAAAAGTTTGGTTAATCGTCCAGAAAAGTCTTTTCTTCCAAAGCTGTCCAGAAAGTTTTTACACTTCATTCAAACTGTTCAACCAAAGCAGCTAACAAACTTTTGTAAATGTAAACCAAAGGAACTTTCTGACAAGTCCAATACAATGTATTGAGAGCAAGTAGGTACAATACTGGACAATGAAATATCATATTTGAAAAAAAATCTTCACTTTTGCGCGTCTGTAACTCCCTTGTCTTTGAGTTTAACCTATTAGTGTTATACATTTTCTGAACGCTCTTTTCAAGGGCTACACAATGGTAATATTAATATTTAGAAATACGGTAAAGACCAGGGAGTTACAGACGCGCGAAAGTGACGATCGTTTTTCAAATATGATATTTCATTGTCCAGTAGTGTACTTGTAAATAAATGGCGACTCCTCTTCCAATAATCTCTTGCACCGGCCAATCGACGATTCGAATAAACTCGGTTGGATTTGTTTTCCCTAAAATTTTCGTGTAAGTATGATGATCATAAATATGATGATTATAAGTATAATGTCTTACCGCCAACAATGTCCCCCAGTAAAGCTGAGACTTGCGATTTTGATCCCATAAAGACTGGACCCAGTCTGGAGCACCTGAAATTGAACTCGAGTTTTAGAAAATAGACGTCATTGCGGCGAGTCAATAACTTCTATTATATAAGTCTTCTTTATTATAGAAATATTAGAGTTTATTGGCAAATACTTCCCACCCATCGGTGACATCACCAAATTGGTGCATGACAACAGCGTGAGCGCCGGGCGGAAGTTGAGTTAGAGTGCCTGAAAAGGATATGCTTGTCATTTTTCCAAAGAGATTTCACCCCGCACTCTCGTGGCCGACTCGGTGACTTTCTCGAAAGTGAACTTTCCAGAAACGAATGAATGCGGAGAGACGAGATGAGCTGTGGCAACATCTCTCTAAATGTGTAGGTAAGCGTAAGTAAAAGTGGCTTTGGAAAAAGGTTTAGCTACAATCTCAGCTACAATCTCAGCTACAATACAATCTTTTAAAAATAGAGATCATTTTCACCCACATAAATCGGCGAGAATCGATCCTTTTCTTGTACAATTGGAGTGATGTCTCTCATTGTTGCAACCGGGCCAACACCGAGGTCTGTTGAGTCTTTCGAGCCGAAAAATTTATTTGAGTTGTATAGTTTTTAAACTAAAATTGTGCAATATTGCCATTTCAACTTACTAGAAATATTTGGACAGAACTCCTTTTTCACACAAGGCGCATTGATTTCATTTCGGATTCTCACATAATCGGGAGCGCATTGACATGAAGGATTGCAAGTGGAAGAGCAAACTGGCTTCTAGAATTGTTAGCGTAAACACGGAAGGATATGTAGAAAAGCTAAATCTATTGCTTTACAAGATCTTACACTTGATTGTCCACAATATTCGGGGCATAGCGTGCCGCAAGCTGTGTACACTGCATTCGCATCTTCACAAGCGCATCGTTGAGGCGATGAGTTGAGTGAGACGATCTGGGCACGACAACAGAACTGAAATTTCTTGATAACTCTATCATTTTCGACAGTTAAAGATAATCATGATATAGATATTTTTTAGATATAGATAGTTTAATAAGATATTCTTGTCTAATAAGTTTAATAAGAACTTGTCCATTTGGACATTCACTGTCCATGATGCACGCTTTCCCGCCAACGTCTTGAGTGCTCGATGGGCATCTTGGTGACACTGAAAAGTTGCTTCTGTTTTCAAACAGTAACTATACTTTTAAGCATATTAGTAAACCTTTAAATAAGCTTTAAAACGTACAGCTAGGGATTGGAAATGGAGTTGTCGCTTCGGTTCTTGGTGGCTCTAATGAGACTGGTGCACTAGGAACACTTGTTGGACTGAATGTAGATGATTCTAAACAAGCAAGAGTTTTGTAAACGTTGATTGTATTGATTTTATTGTATATTACTATTACTTTTTTTTCTTGTTTACTTGTTATTTCCTAAAATCTATGACCTGAAATGAAAGCGGTTCCCTTTGTCGTCTCGTTCGGGCATTCGTCAAACGAAATGCACTCGGAATTTCGCCAATTCGATGAGTTTTTAAAAACAAAGCCTAAATTTAATTATCTATTTCGACATTTCTTGGGATAACATCCTTTTTAGGATATACCATTTTTGCAGAAACATCCTTTTTCACACGGAGTACAATGTCTTGGATTTCGGTTATCGCACCCTAGTGGACAAGCCGATCCACAAGTGATGAACTCCTGAAAAACTCGTTTATCTGAATGATATACAGACAGCTTATTTAGCTTTCAGTTAATAATATTCAGCTATTCAAACCTTTTTCGGATCACTACAAGAACTCTCGCATTCACTCGGCAACACACAACGGCTATCCATATCTTTGAAATCAAACAGAACATATCTAGATTTGATTAGAAAATTAGAAAAATATCACTTGCGGATCAAGCTTACGGTTCTCGGCATACACATCCCTCTTTGCACAAATTTGGAATACATGAGCCAGCTAGATTGCGACAAGAACGTGTACATCTAAGAGCTAATTTGAATGCTAAAAACTCTTCGAACCCTTCAGCTCTGCACTCCGACCATTCCTTTCTTGGATCACTACAAGATGATCTTGTTGTTGTTAAAGTTTCTGGTTTTTGTGTGGATGTTGGAAGTTGGGCAACGATTGAATCCTAAGCGTAAACTTTTAAGAAATGCCTTTAGTTTCACCTGTGATCCTTGAGGACATTGATTTGGTAGAACACATGAAGATTGTCGCACAGCTGACACCAATAAGATGTACGGCGATCGGCAATAACATCCCGGCACACATTGCAAAAGACATCCAGGTGTTAGACTTTGAAGGTCACAACCCACTAGAATATTGATCTTGGGATCTTGACTTAGATTTTCGTGTTTAAAGTGAACCCCACTTGGACAAGCACTTCCACATTGTTGATATTCTTTTAATGGATCAGCGCATTGTGAGAATGAATTAATAGATCGTGGTGTTGTTGTTGGAAAAGTGAAAGGAGTTGGCGGCAAAGTTGGAAATGATGGTAATGGGGGAAGTGTTGGAGGGGTCACTCGTTCAAAGGCTGGCACTATAAAGTTAAGGTCTTCATTTTATTGTTCATATATAACTTTGAGAAACCTGGAATTGTTTGCAGTGTTCTCCCGAAGTTCCCGAATGGTTGTATCGGGAAACTGGCGGTGATGGTTGGGTGTGGAGTTGTCTCAAAAAAAGACTTATCAGTAGATCAACCTTCATAGCTTCTAAGCGGAAAGCCCATAAATCTACCTGTTGTTGAATTTGTGGACACTCAGCAGGCAAAATGCATCGAGAATTCAATGGATCGTTTCCATTCTCCAGAATATATGGGATTTGACAGAAACAACCCTGCACACTCTGAAAAAAGCAAGATCCACTTTCTAAAATGCACCAAAACGACCGTTCCCACCGTTATTTGGTGCTCTTTTTTACTTCCATTTCTTCATTTCATTTTCTCTTCCACCGTGAAATCTCGCCGCTTTTTGTTAGATTTTTTGAAGTTAAGCCTTTTTTTAGTCGTAGAAACCTTTGAGTGAATTTTTGAGCGCTTAGAAAAGATTTTGTGAATTTCTACCTTTCAAAAAAGTTTGTTTGTGTTGTTTTTGATGTTTTTGTGCTCTGTTTTTGCTTTTCTTTGTGCCCTGTTTTTGCTTTTCTTTGCACTAATTCTCTTTTTTCAGGGTAAAGTTCGACTTCATCTCCAGATGGTTCTAGCAAAGAAAACGATCACGAAAAACGTCGACCACGCCGAAACTGGTTGTGAAATCGATCACCGCCTACTTTGAGGTTTGTTTTTATTGGTTTTTCATTTAATAAGATAGTTATAATAATTCAACGATATTTAACACTAGAATAGACAGTTTTTGTAAAGGTAATTGTCTAGGTATTGTCTTTATTTAACTTATTTAAATTGTCTTTATTTAAATTAACTTTATTCAAATTAACTTTATTTCCATCACCGCTACGATGGTAAATGATGGCAACAAGCACAAGAATATTTAATTTATTTGTTATTTTATTCATTTCTTTTAGAACCTATCAACACCAGAAAAAGAAATACACCGATCGAGCCAAGCTGTGCTTCCCTCGTCGCTCCCATCTCACTGACAAATTGGCAAAGAAGGCGGCCCGGACCGTCACTCTCCACTTATTATTTGCCTAAATTAAGTGTGCCGGAAATCCGAGAAAAGTTTTCAAAATCATCAACTTTGAGACCATTTTTAACGGATTTCCACAAACCTTTTCGTGGTTTTTGATTGCATATTCGGAACCAGCTATTCTTTTCGATAAAGCTGTAACTCGGTGGGCAATCCGTGCACTTCCCTAGTTAGCAAGGATCGACAAGACCACAAAAATCAGAAGCCTAAGCCCTTTTCGGCAAAGCACGAAAGGTCGATCGTGTTGCCTTTATGAATAATAACATTGCTTGTATTTCGTGATTCTTTTGTGCGCTCTTTTTCTTTTCAAATGCATTGATTTAAATTGATTTCTCACTACTGCTTTGCAATTGTTTGTGTTTCTCTTTCTTTATTTATTTTTTTGATTGTTACATGTGATAAACTTTTTGTTATTTTATAGATGTAAAAAAACCTCACACAACTCTCACGACAACGGGGAGAAAGACGAGATTCACAAGAGATTGGACATGACGAGCCACAGGTTGTGTACTGAAAGTTGAATGTAAGGTGAATTGGAGAAAAGCTTATCTACTTTTCTTTTTGGATCCTGACATTGTTGCGGTTGAGGTTGAGGCTGGGGTTGAGTCTGAGGCTGAGGCTGTGGTCGTCCAATTTGAATACAAAGCGTGTAAGGGATACACTGAGCAAATGGAGATTTCGTGGCCCTCACAAAGCCTAAACGGTATCACTGTTCTCTTTCCTAAAGTCGTTGCTTTCAATTTTACCTGGCAAACATTGACATCCAGGTTGGCAGCTAGGCGTTGGACATGGAAGAGTGTTTGGCTCTTCACAAGATGCTTGACAAGGAGAGTCACATGGGACCCAAGTCTCTGTCGGTGATGGACACGAGAACGATGGAGGGATTAGGACTAAAAAGGTTTCAAGTTCATCGAATAGTTTATTCTTGTTTAATGGGCAAAAGGGTGTACAGAAAAAGTGGGTTGTGCAAAGCTTGAGTCAAATTGGCAACTAAAATTGAAAACCGGGCATTGTTGTCGGTGTCTTCGATGCGCCATGATCGATAAAAGACTCCGAATAGTGAGAGTTCTTTTTGGCCAAGTATTCAAGAATTTTCTGAGCTTTCCGTTGAGGATTCTCCTGAGATCGGCGCACAAACTCGCACTCGTCGTCACCCTGAACACTTCAAAAAGTTGACTCTGTTCGAAATTCGATTTGATTCTGAATATCTAGAAAGTCTCAAACTAAAATTATGCATTATTAGATGATGCTTTAGAAATATTGCTATTACTGGAAACTTATTTACCAAGCTGCCTCAATATCTTCTTTTTCTTCACCTCAATCCTTCGCCCGTATCCATTCACACACCAACAAGTTGACGTGCCGGCTAGGCACTGTTTTCTTCGATATAATCTTGGTTCTGTTTGATCACATTGTGGGATATGAACGCCAAATAAATTCATCGATGGCTCGACTCCTTCAAGGAGATTTTTGCGTTGAATTGAGCACACTGAAGCTTCATTTTTATTGTTTCTAATATATCTTTTTTTCTTTTCCCTCAAAGGAAATCTTGTCGAGTTTGTAGAAGTAGAAGTATTGGGTTGGTGAATTGAAAACTGCCGGCTATTTTCATATGTGACAGTTTGAGGACTTTCTTCAAAAGAAACCCATTTTGGTGTCAATGGAAAAGTTGTAGAGAATCAAAAATCAAGCTTATATCCAGATTTCCAAAAAGATACACTTAGTAGTTTCGCTTAAAATTTGTGTGCTCTGTGTGTTCTTTGTGCGGCCGCGTAATCACTCGTCATCTGGTGCAGGGCTTTTGCATGGGCCCCAATCAGCTAACCCAATATTGGGGGCGAATTGAAAAAGGCCGGCTTTTGTCATTGGGCGCAGGGCACCTTTTAAGAAACCCATTTTTTTTTTTCAAAATTTAATTTTCTTTTTTCGATTGAATTTTCACAAAACTTTTTTATATTTTTTTTTTATTTTAAGCCTAATTTTGATTCTATACACTTTTGCATGGGCGCAGGGCTTTTATGCTTTTGCATAACTCGATAAATAGTCCTCGATTTTTGAGTCTCACACACTTGTACTGGGAGTTGCTGGATAGTAAGACGACCATTAATGCAATCAAGTACAGTGGACAGTTGGGAAAGGTGAATGAATCCCTGAAGGAGAATAGGCCCTCCAAGTCAAAGATCGTTCTCATCCACGACAACGCGCGCTCTCATGTTGCAAAACTGACTGGCTCTAAAAGAAATAGCCTTGTTTGGGAACTTTTGGCGCATTCCCCATACAGTCCGAACCTCTCCCCTTTTGATTACTATTTCTTCCGGAGCTTGCGGGAGAACACTTCGATTTGGAAGAAGCAGTCAAAAATTGGCTTTGAAAGTTTTTCGATTCAAAACCAAAATCCTACTACGAAAGAGGAATCCGCAAATTGTCTGTAAAATGGGCAGAAGTCGCAAATAATAATGGAAATCATTTGGAATGAATTGATTGTTTTATGTTGAATAAATTTTAATTCAAAGTCTCGCAGTTTTCAATTCACCGACCCAATAGAAGTAACTTTCTTGAACGAGATACTTGTCTTGCATTTGTTTACAACATTGAAATCTCTGTTTACAACAATGAAATCTCTGGAGACCTTGAGAAAAGTACTTGCTTTTCTTTTCAAATTTCTAGAGTTGCCATAAAGTTTTCTGTTCTTTGTTGAACTTGAATCTTTTACGCATGTCAACAACAACGGATTGGGCACACCCAAAAATAGAAATAGATTGAAGAACTTTCTGCCAAAGTCCTTCTTTCACCAGTCATTCAAGGCCACCTCTATTACTAGAAACACATCAAAATTTGCATTTTTGAGGGTCCATTCAGCAAGTATCGATGACAGAAAACATGAGAAAAGGAAGAGGAAAGGGAAAAATGAGTGTTGAAAGGGGAGAGACTCGGTCACTCCAAGATTAACCTTAACTTACAAGTCACCGACTGAATTGAGGATAGTGTAGACCAAGGTTGGATGGGGTTTAAGTGACTCAGAATCCATATTGGATCACCAAGGTTGGATGGGATTTAAGTGACTCAGAATCCATATTGGATCACCAAGGTTGGATGGGATTTAAGTGACTCAGAATTGAGTGCCAGTCTGTCTCCTAGTCGTCTGCTAGTCGTAGATAATATTAAGTTGAGCACTATTTTTTATTGATTTGATATGGCTTACTCTTTGCTCTTTTTAGCAACAACTAGTGCCTCAATTCACTTACAGTTTTTCCGTTTCAAAAGCTCTATTGATCTTCAAAAAGTGGCTTTTAACGTATTTGAAAATGTTTCCATGATTTTTCAAGCAAAAAGGTTGAGTGATCAAAAACCCGAATGATACAATTTGAGCACTTTTCTCCAAAGAAACCGATTTGAATGTGTTAAGACAAAAGATAGAGTAAAAGAAGTTACAATTATAACGAAAGTTTCAACTTAATATATCAAGCGGTTTCTATTTTTTTACTATTTAACGAATTTCTGCTTAAATATTCCTCAAAATGAATCCAAATTTGTTCAAAAAAATGAGAAAAAAATTAAAATAAGAAAAAGAAAAACTTTTGGTGCAAAACCTTAACTAAATTAGTTCTTTAAGAAAAACAAAGAAAAGATTCGACAAAGAAAAATGGGAATACCATACTAAAACCAAAACTAAAACGACAAAGGAATACCATACTAAAACTCAATTTAATAATTAGATATCTCAAAGTAAAGTTAAAGTAAAGTTGAAGTAAATCAAAGTAAAGTTGAAGTAAATCAAAGTAAAGTTAAAGTAAAGTTAAAGTAAAGTTGAAGTAAAGCCTGAATCCCACCTGAGCAACACTTTCCCTCAGCACAAAACTCATTGACCGAATCGCATTCATAATCAACATTGCATCTTCTCATCCATGAAGATCCATCAGGACATCCCTCATTTAAATTTGCTAAAGATTTGTTAGTTAAGTGTTAGATTTGTTAGTGAAAATGGAAAGTTAGTAGTGCGAAGTGGTGACAAAATGCTAAATTACACTCGTTCTGCTTGTTCATCATTTGCGTGACTCTCGTCGTCGGACAACAGAACTCACCGTCGCAAATTTCACCCTGAAATTGGGTATTGAAATCTGAAGATTAAGAATTAAGAATCGTATTTCTAGTGCTAGAGAAGTTTTCAAACAAATAGATAACCGAATAGCAATCATTTTGCGATGCACAGCGATAGAAAGAGTATCGTCCATCGCCACAGGCACGGCAACTCCCATCAACTTCACATAGACCTAAGAAAAATAGATTTTTTGAATCATAGAGTTTTGAGTCATTAGTTTTTCATTAGCATTGATGATTTAAATAAGATTCTAAAGACTTACGTGGATTCGCCCGTATCCTGTGTACAAATAGGATTAGTGATATCAAGAGCTTCATTCGATTGGGAGTACTGTAGAGATTAGATGTTTTGAGACGTTTGAATGCAGAATGTGAATGCAGAATTGAAGAAATCGAGAGCAATCGCTTTTCTCGTCGATTTGAATAGAAGAAGGGGGAAAAGGAGGGTAGGTGCAGTAAAATTGAGCTCTTTTTTGTGGAAAGAGGAGAGTAAAAGAATACTCGGGATTTTTGTGGCGACTCGGTATTGACCCCAATCTTCGGCTTTACTAAAATGGAGTTTGTTTGGAAAAAAAAGGGTATTCGAAGAGTTGAAAAGATTTGTGAGAAGTTTTTTGTTGATTTGAGTCGATTTAAAGTTTATTGATCAGATTTGTTTAATCAAAAAGCTGTGGAATCAAATGATTTTGAAAAGTTCATCTACAAAAGTTGATTTAAAGCTTTCAATCGCTTCAATTGCTTCAATTTCAATTGCTAAGCAATCAAAGAAAGCAATCAAAGTAAGCAATCAAAGTAAAGTTCAAGATTCGTTTAAAAAAAACAATAAAATTCTAATCGTCGAAGTAGCCGGGATTTGTCGAACATTTTTGTCGGATCTCTCCCATCATTGACAATGAGGTGAAAGGGGAAAAAGGTGGAGCGATAATGAGTGTTTTGACCCATCCCGTGGGGATATGTGAATGTGAAGAGTAATAAAAGAAAAAGGGGAAATCCCAAGGGCATTCCTTTACCGGTAGACGATAGACTGAGTGAATGAGAACCTTTCTCTTCCCTACTCAATAACTATAATCAATCCGGTGCCTCAATCCTGGCATCAAAGTGAATGACTGTTTTGAATCGGTTCAATGGTTTTTCTGAACCAAAAACTGGAAGCATTTGATTGTCTTGTAAAAAGGAAACACTGGAAATTGCTTGAAATTGAAATTGCTTGAAATTAAAATTGCTTGAAATTAAAATTGCTTGGAATTAAAATTGCTGCAAAGCTTTGAAAGCTTGGAAAAGCTTGCAAGTCTTTGAGATCTTTTTGAGTGTAATTGAGGTACAATTCTAGCATTTTCAATGCTACAAAACTTAATTGAGTGTATTAAAATTAGTTTTTTTCAAAACTTTATCATTCAAAAGCTTTGAATTCTCTCAATAGCCTCGTTATCGATTGTAAGCGGAAGGAAATCCATGGACTCATGCTCTCCATCCTCATCGAGCACCTATATGAATTGCATTTAGTCTTGAAATCTCTCCCCCACCTTCCATTCATCTTTCACCCATCGATCCATAAGCAAATTTGGCTTCACCGTGCAAAAATATGGCTCGATGCCGAAACGATCACGAGCATTTTGAGCAAGCACGAAGAAAAGGGCATCACTGAAGATTGGCTTATCGTATTTCTTCGAATAGAAGACCGGGTAAAGAGTATCATCGCGTACTCCTGCGTAGCAGTCCTTCTTTTCTGCATAAAAGCTTTCAATGAAGTGCTATAGAGCTGGAAAATGGCTCAAAAATCTGTTAGCTCATGTGGTATTTTTGAGTCATTTTCCAGCCCTATAGCACTTCATTGAAAGCTTTTATGCAGTTTAACTTATTCAATTATTGCACTGTTTGATTGTATTATTGGATTCCAATTAGTTTAAAGTTCATAGAATATGTAAATCTATAAAATACCAATCATTCCTACCAACTCATTCTATTAAATAAAGCCAAAAGACTCAAACTAGCATTGTCGCATAGCAATTGTTGAGCCTTTTGAGCCCTTTGGCGTTCTTTATATAATAATAATTATACTTTAAAATATTCCTTATATTTTAAAGTATAATAAATATGCGAAATTCGCCTCTAAAGCGAAATTCGATAAACTTTGACCATGCAAATCTTTTCAACTTTTCAAATAAAACCCTTCCAAACTTTCCTTCAAAATTGATACTAAAAAGCACTTGAATTTATAGATTTATAGATTTATAGATACCGTATTTCTTCGAATAGAAGACCGGGTAAAGAGTATCATCGCGTACTCCTGCGTAGCAGTCCTTCTTTTCTGCATAAAAGCTTTCAATGAAGTGCTATAGAGCTGGAAAATGGCTCAAAAATCTGTTAGCTCACGTGGTATTTTTGAGTCATTTTCCAGCCCTATAGCGCTTCATTGAAAGCTTTTATGCAGAAAAGAAATTTTAAAAAGGGCTGCTACGCAGGAATACGCGATCATACTCTTTACCCGGTCTTCTATTCGAAGAAATACGGTAGCTTTGTAGTTGTACGGTAGCTACAAAAGCTACAAATGTTTCTTTATCGTTTACAGACGTTTACCGTAATCTTTTCCCTCGATATTCCTCAAGTACAAACGCATGCACGATCATTCCATTTGACTCCAACATAATGAAAGCAGCCGCGTCTCCATTTGTCGCTCGAATACAAACTGTTTCAAGATTTTTAAGACGAAGTCTAGAAATTTATTACATTTTACATTTTTACAATATATTTTATTGATTACCGTATCCTTTCTTCTTCCGTTGGAGACTTGAAAATCCATGTTCTTGCCACCAGCCCTACGTCTTTTTCTTGTATCGAATCGACAGTGAAACTGAAATTTTGCTTTCTGTCCTTTTTGAATCAAATTTAGCCCTAGATTAGCCTCTGAACATAAAGAAATACGCTTGCTTTTGCTAGGCTCTACTATAATGTTTAAAGAAATGGAAACAACACCAATCAAAAGGGCTAAAGTTCACGAACCCTTCAGGAAGATGATATTTTGGTATGTTGATTGATCGATGAAAGGCATACATCCAGCAACGAGTGTGTCGAGGGGTTTCAATGCCGATAGAGTTCGCAAATTTCTCTATCTAAGCATTGCTTGATTGGCTGGATTTCTGAGAAGTCTAACCGCAGCCACACATAACGGATCTCCATTGCAATTCATATAAAGAGCATCACAAAGTTCATCAATACCTAAAATTGATGGAAGGCAGTGATAAGCCAGATTGGCCAGATAAGCCAGAGCCAGATTAAAACATAATTGATGGCAAACTAGGTTTTAAAACATTATTTTATTTTATAAAAAGATCGGTATCATTTTGGCTTTCTTTTAAATCTAGACTAAATACCGTAATCTAGCTATTCTAGACTGAATATCCTATTCTAGATTGAATACCGTAATCCAGACAGTCTGGACTGCATACTCTATCTAGACTGAATACCCTAATCTAGATTAAATACCGTAATCTAGCTATTCTAGACCTAAGCCTAAGCCTTATCTTTATTTTCCTTTTAAAGCCAATCACTACCTCTTTTCTCTTTGAACACAAAGGTGAAAAAGCTTTGGAAAGCTTTTTCAGAGAATTTCCCACTTCTTCCCACTTGAATGTGACAACTGGAAATGAAATTTGTTATTTGAAATCGATATTTGAATAAATGTTTTAATAAATGTTTCTTTTTCGTTATACATCTGTAAAATTTGCATTTCCCCAAATTTGAATCCTTCCATGAAAGCGAACAAGGAAAGCCACAGAAAATTCATTCGACGATTGAACACATCGAACCGGGAACTCAAATTTACTCCGATTGTTTGCGAGGATACAACACTCAACAGATGGAGGAAGCCGGCTTTACTCATGCTCAAGTCAACCACAAGTACAACTTCCTCAATCCGGATGAGGAAGGAATGGAGGATGGAGGAAGCCGGCTTTACTCATGCTCAAGTCAACAAGTACAAACTTCCTCAATCCGGATGATTTCTAATCACGATCGAGCGTCTATGGGGATCTGCCAAATGGATAAACAAGAAGCATCGCGGCACGACACTTCATTTCCTATCGATTTTTGATTATTAAATGATCAGGGGTTATTTTTGCGAATGTATAACGGAAAAGTACCGAATAGATTTCTATGATTTTTTTTTATTAAAACCCACACTTTCGACCAAACATTGATTCCAATCCAATACTCGAAATCATCGCCTTCTTGTGAATAGAGATAGTAATGAGAGGTGGGAATTCCCTGGAAAATTTGGTGTAAAGCAAATATCTCAATAATTACTTGAAGTTTACCTTCACTAAATGAAGTCTAATCGTACTTTGAAAAAGTTTCATTTTCGAGTGTTTCTCAACTTTTTTCAAAGCGGCCGTGAAATCAGCCGAGCTCTCATAGAATGTGTTCATTGCTGGAAAAAAAAAGTCGATTACGTATGAAATAATACATATAAAATAATTGGTATATATGTCGTAGCCGATTATGAATTTCAGCCGATTATGAATGAGTGGGTCTAGGAGCGTCCAACCATCAAGTATTTGGTATCATTCAACGCAGAATCATTAATGATTATGTTAAATTTTTAAAATTAGAAAGATTTGATAAAAAGAAAAAAAATTATGGGACCTCAAAGTTTCCTCTTGAACAAACAGTTTTTTGCTCTAATTTTTTTTCTTTTTATCCAATCTTTCTAATTTTAAAAATTTAACATAATTATTAATGATTCTGCGTTGAATGATACCAAATACTTGATGGTTGGACGCTCCTTGGACGCTCCTAGACGCTCCTTGGACGCTCCTAGACACTCATTGGACGCTCCTAGACACTCATTGGACGCTCCTAGACACTCATTGGACGCTCCTGGACACTCATTGGACGCTCCTAGACGCTCCTTGGACGCTCCTAGACGCTCATTAGACGCTCCACTCATTCATAATCGGCTGAAATGCATAATCGGCTACGGGGGTCCCGCCGATTTTGAATGAAACGTTGTAGCGCCGGTAATTTTTAACCTAAACTCACAAATTTGGTACCAATCGACGCAGAATTGAATTCGCTACAGGATGATATAATATTGTCCTCATACATTAAAGGGTTGCTCTACTAGAAAGATTTCTCAAAAAATTTCATTCATAATCGGCTACGACATATATATGTAACGGTAATTTTGGCCCACCAAATTTACGGGACGGGAGTTTTTTTGGAAACAAGTTACCTTTTTCAGATCGATTTTTGTTTTCGAAATTACAAAGTTACACAAAAGCGGCTGATTTTCGCTCAAAATAAGAACAAATGGAAATTGTGATTTTAGAAAAACACCAGAAACAATCAATTTTACAAAAATCAAACCTATTTCCTGTACCTTTAGCAGAAAATTCGAGAAAAATGTGATAAGCAGGCGTATTTTCAATGCCAAAGGCCTCTCTCTTTTCGATCAGCCGATTCCACTTTCTATCACTCAAAAATCACGCTAGAGAAAGCAGAAAAAATCCAATATTTAAAACAAAATGACGGTAATATGTTAAATCTATCAGCTTTAGCAGGAATGAGCTTATCAGTATATCTTGATGCTCGAAAATGGGAAACACACGCTTTCTGGCGCACTCAATCTTGCAAGAGGCAATACTTGCGGTAGTACTTGCTTTAATGAATCAATTTGCTACATTTTTAAATGTCAAGGTTTTTCAACAAATTTCCCAAGAATTTCTTTATTTACATGAATCCAAACGGCAAATCGGGCAATGACTGAATGGCACGACATTGCTTTTCATCAACCCAAAATTTCGGCTACATTTCGTTTCCATTATCACATCTCATTACTATTCCACTTACTATCCATTACTATTCCACTTCCACTTCCAGAGCGTTCTCTTGACTCTCGACCGATCACCACAACAGGTAGGATTTTGTAGACTTTATGTTTTCTATTTTGTAATCTTGAGGAAAAAGTTCTGACTCAGCTGCGAAAAATTCAATTTTTATGCATTTTTTGCTGTTTTTTTGCTGGTGTTGTACCAATGTTGATCTTTGTATTCCAGATGAGTTTCCAAGAAAGAGAGCTTCGATTTTTGAATCCGCTGGAAACGGAAACATTTGAAGAAGTTGAAGAAGTTGAAGAAGCTTGTCAAGAGTTCTTTGATTCGAGTCTGAAGGAGTGTTACTTTGACCAGATCCGAAAGCTTGCAGATCGATGGCAGAAAGTCGTAGATAATGATCGGTTCTTGAGGAATAATTGTTGTTATTTTTGTTATTAAAGTGCGCATAAAAATTGCAGTCAATTGCAGTTTTTCGCAGCCGAGTCGGCACTTTTCCCTCAACCAAGTAACTAAACTGAATAGCTTGGTCGTATTTTGGTTACTGTATTCTGTGAGGATAAAGTAGAAAGCAAATGGTTAAATAAAGCAATAAAGCAAAGCTTAAATTACTGTAGATTTGCGTAGAATCAATTTTTACTTTGTAGTCTTGGAAATAAAATCTTTATTGAGACAAGAATTCTTTTCTAAATTCGTCGATGGAAATCGACAGCCAATCAACAGCATAATGGTCACCGTTATCATCGAGAACCTGGAAACAGAACTGGAACTGGAAACAGAACAGAACAATAATTCTAAACTTGTAACTTATCTTTTAATTGGTTAAAAGTTCAATTTGTAACAAGAATTTGAAAAAATTCTTCTCACTTTCCACTCTTCTTGAGCCCAATTCAGCATGATATTGTTCTCTCGAAGACAACAAAAGAACGGCTCGATTCCGAATTTCTTTTGAGCTTTGTAGGCAAGTACTGGAAAAATGGCATCTCTGAAAAGTGGAAATAAATAGGTGAATTGAAAATTCAAGTGGACATAAAGAAGAAGAGGATTTGAACCAAAGCCAAAAGATTTCATAGGTTCTTTAGACTAGCACATTATTCCCTAGACCACAGAAGCCGCGAGAAATTTTCTTAAACCCCATAAAGAGTCCCATAAAGACCCCAATTTCTAGGCACAGAGTTCGTTTTGGATCATCCTTGAGAGTATTTTAGATCTTTTTCAACTTAATCATCTAGATCTTATCTATTTTTACCTCAATTTCCTTCCCCGATATCCTGGCAGTACATATAAATGAATGATAGATCCATCGTGTTCTAAAAGAGCAAAACCGGCAGCGAAACCGACGTGATTCGCCAATTGAGAGGAGTTTTGGCGGATGCAAACTGTGCCCAATTTCTCGATTCGAACGCTAAAATAGGTGAAAGTAGATGGAATTCAAAATAGATTATTCAAAGGAAAATTAGCCAAATGTCTACTGTGTTTTTTTTGTTCGTTTGTTTGTTTGCCAAAGCTAACAACCAAAGCTAACAAAGCTAAATGTTTCTTTTTTCACTCAAACCTACCGTATCTGTTCCTCTTCCGAAGGGCTACCGTATTTCCATGTGTCCATCACTAACGGAATATCCTGTTCACGAATTTTGTCCACAAAATATCTGAAACGATTTGAGCTCTGTATTCGATCTGCATTTTCTTTCTTATAGATCTATATCTGTATTATAAGCATTGAAAAACAAATTTACCCATGAGGTAGACAAATCTCTGGTGGATCGATAATTTCTGGAAACGAAAAGAGAAGAAAAGTTTCATTAGAATCGACATGAATTCCCCTATCACCGAGAAGAGTTTTCAACTAAAATTTGATTTAAATGCTATTCAATTTGATTCTACCGCTTGAATTCCTTGTGGATCGCCGAGTGCCGTCAAATCGTTTAATGGCAATAAATCCTCAAGTACTAGATTGAAAGTTGAAAGTTGTAAAGAATTTAAAGCTTCATTTACCTTCAGAATCTCTCAAAGTGTCAAGAGTGAATGTCTCGAAAGATTTTTGATTAAAATCCCCAATAACAGCGACATGAATATGTGTGCTGAATTGTGTTTTGGTTAAAAAGTGAGACTTTTGCTAAGTTGGAACTGAAAAACTGAAAAAGATCAAAAATTCGGGCGGAAGCGGGACTCGAACCTGCGACCTTTGGTCCAGCTGGCAGCCGTGCTAACCATTGCACCACAACGTACTTAGTCTCTCGCATTCCAGAGGGGTTTAAGTCCTACACTTACGATTGCAACAGTCGTTTATATCCAATCCAAAACGTCGACTTTTCATCTTCAAACGAAAATAATAAATATTTCGATTCAGGTACAAGAATTCCGGAGATTTCAATCTTTAGTGAAGCCAAGAAAAACTTCAAACGAGGCAATTTCTTCAATTTTTCCTGAGCATTCAATAGATCTTGACGAGAATTTGATGAATATTTTGCGATCATTTGGAACAATTTGAAATCAAAAAAAATGGTTTTGCTGATTGGAAAAGCGCGAGAAGTCAAAATTCAAGGTTCAAACTACAAAAGTGAACTGATAATCGGCTTTGCATTTGTCGTATTGGTTTTTAAAAATGCTCAAAAGAGCTCAAAAAAAATGGCTTTTTGTCTCGAAATGTTATTTGAAATGTTCAAAAATTAAAAAGAAACGAGATCTTGGTTCAGCTTTAGCAGCAATGGGTTTATATTACTTTTAGCAAAGGTATTACTTAGCAAAGGTTCAGCAAACTGCAAAAATTACGATTGCAATTCAATCTTTTTATGTTATTCAATGTTCTTACTTCAGAAAAGCTGATTTAGGTTCAGAAGATTAAAATCGTACAATTAGCAAACTTAGCTTCCTTTGGAGTAACGGACATCAAATGCATTGTGGTGTCATGGTTAGCACAGTTGCAAGGTAAGCCGAAGGTCACGGGTTCGAGTCCCCGTAGTGCACAAAGTTTTTGATCTGCCCTAGTTCCAACAAACGTTTTGATCAAATTGATACAAATTGGCATTTGCAAAATGTAAAATTGATAACCTAGGCCGTGAAGAGCTTTTGTTGTCATCAAATCATGAAACAGCTGCAAAATGGCCTCTAGTCACCATTTTTATACATTGTACTTAATAAACAAGCATTATTCAAAGATGCAAACAATGATATAGTGCTTTAGAGTTATTTTAAACGGGCGAAAGAGAATAAGACAAAGAAATCTGATGCTTACAATGATAGAATCATAGATTTGAGTTTGATTTGAGTTTGTAAAGTTTGAGAAGCTGATTGCACTTTCGAAAATCTTTTTTAACAGGTTTCTTGTTTAAAATCGTTATCGTTATCGTTTAAAATGTGTGCTTAAAAAGAAAAATTACTGATTCTTTTGGACTTTACAGGATAACAAGTGTTGCAAAAGAATGATTTTACAGAAAAGAATGATTTTAAAGAAACCAAAAGAGTTTACAGCTTTTTTTTTTTGTTTAGATCTACGGACATTTTTACACGAGATTCATAAGCTTATGTAAAAAATTTGAAACTTTATTTGTTTCATTCAAACGTGAATGCTAGTCGAAAAAATGAATATTCAACAAAAATGTCAATTTTTGTTAGCCAAGATAACTTCTTAGCTATTAGGTTGGCAAGTTATAAACGATCGTTTTTTGGCAATGTGTTTTCTGAAAAAACGGCTTATCCAATCAAAAAGCGGTTTGCTCCAATCCAATCGATCGTAGCGTTCTCTTTCTTTTAATCTTTTTTTCTTAATCTTGCTTAAATTCAAACGAAAATGGATTAAATTAGCACAAAAGTGCATTTTGAGGGGGGTGGGACAAACGCGACCTTTTTTTTTTGCTGGAAAAGGCCTTAGGCAAGGCCGTAGAGCTTCGAAAATATTTCCATAGAAGGGAATCGTATGCGTAGATTCCGAATTTCGACAAATCAGACCTCGCTGACACGTCAAATTTGGGCTAAAAGGCAAAAGCTACGCAACTTAACGCTTTTCCGCTAGTTTTTGCCTTTTAGCCCAAATTTGACGTGTCAGCGAGGTCTGATTTGTCGAAATTCGGAATGTACGCATACGATTCCCTTATATGAAAATATTTTCGAAGCTCTACGGCCTTTTCCAGCAAAAAAAGGTGCGCAAATGTCCAGGTGCTCAAAAAAAAGGTCGCATTTGTCCCACCCCCCATTTTGAGCCTAATTTGAAAATCAACCTTCCGAAGATTGGATTGTTCTGAAATTTTTGGGAAACTATGTAAACGATGAAGCGTTTTATTTTAAAAAGTATGCAATCACTCAAAAATATATTAGCTAGAAGCTATACTAGCTAGAAGCTGCCAGAAGCTCAGTTAGCTAGAAGCTATATTAGCTCATGAATGCTAGAAACCAGGATTTTCAACTATTACATTAAAATGCCTGAAAAAGTTCTAAAATAAAACATTTTTCAAAAATTCAAAAAAGCCATTTTATAGATTAAGGATAGAGCTTTTGAATCAAGCAAACCGTTTTTTGATTGGATAAGCCTTTTTTTCAGAAAACACATTGCCGAAAAATGATCGTTTATAACTTGCCAACCTAATATAATAGAGCTCAAAAAAGCACTATTTTTATAGTAATTAACTCTAAAATGCAGAAAAAAAAAACAGAAAAAGACGATTTTTAGAGTCCCAACTTGTAATCAACATGTTTTTTTTAAAATTCGAATCACCAAAACTTGCCGATCTGCCGATGTCTGCCGATGTCTTTTTGCAATTTTCTTCAAGAAAATCTTTCTCTATGCAAAACCCTTTGCTATGTAACTATTTATAGGTTTAACTCACGAATTTTACGGAGAAAACAAAAATATTTTGTCTTGGTTATAGGGAAAGACCGATCACGGACAGTCTGGTGGATAAATATCTAAATGAAAAGAGAGAAAATGAAAAGAAAATCAAAAGAAAATCAAAAAAAAATCAAAAGAAAATCAAAAGAAAAACCTGTTTCTCATCTCGTTTTTTCTCTATATTCTATCGTACTTAAGTGATGGGGAAAATTGAGGAATTTTGGTGTTTATTAGGATTTTGAAAATCACTTTATTATTGTCAATCTATAGAGGTTCTTTGTTTCAGTAGAAAACTCGATTTGCATTCTGTACTTCTAAATTTTCTACAAACATTCAGAACAATGAATTGTACATTCAGAACAATTTCAATTTGGTTTCTTTAATGTTCTTGTACTTGTTCTTGTTCTTGTTCTTGTTCTTGTACTTGTTCTTGTACTTGTTCTTGTTGTTCCTCTTGTTCTTATCCTTGTTCTTGTTCTTTTACTTGTTCTTGTTCTTTTACTTGTTCTTGTTGTTCCTCTTGTTCTTATCCTTGTTCTTGATTCATTTTCGACAAATCACTATACTTTTTGTTCTAGAATGGCCCTCTACCGCACCATCGTTGCTTTCATCTACTTCGTCTGCTTTTTAGAGGTTGTTTCTGGTAAGTAAAAATAAAAAAAGGCATGGAAAAATAAAATAGATATCGTATTTTCTCTAGTAGTAGTGCACCCTGCACGTCGTCTAAATTGCTCGAAATCTCGAGAACCACTTATCAGAACCTATCGATGTGGGGTCGGAAAATGTAGATGACGATGAGATCTAGTGGGGGATCGAGTGAGAGGTACAAGCAGTATAAATCAGGAAGCCAGTCACGATTGTTCAAGCTGAGCTTGGCCTATAGGAAGCCCTGAGTGTCCGTCAGTCAGAGCTGACTCTAGATCTGGCTAGCTGACTGTAGCCTGTCTTTCTGCCCGCTTGGAACATCACTACCGTATTGCTCGAAATCTTGAGAACCGCTGATCAGAACCTATCGATGTGGGGTCGGAAAATGTAGCTGACGATGAGAGCTAGTGGGGGATTTGAGTGGTCAGCTTCTGTGAAAGCTTGGAAACCGTCAAATAGTGACCAACTCGGCTCGCCGGGGTGCGCTACTATTAGAGAAAATACAGTAACTTGTCTTGATTTGCTTTAAAGCAAAATAATAAAAGAAAACGCTTAAAAGTTCACTATTTTTCAGGTGGACGATTCTTGAATGCTCTTGGCGCCGGTGCTGCTCTAGGAACTGGAGGTACTGAGGTTTTGCTTGCCTTTAAGACTAGTGCTAACTAGGATTTGTTTCGCACCATTCAAATCTACAAATGAGCTTTCATTTTAAACCAGCTGTTCTTAAACCTGCCAACTTAGCTTTTCAATGAATCAAATTTCAGCCTACCTAGCGCACAAAGCTGTCACAGGAGGATAATATGGAATCTCTTTCAAGAAAATGACGCTTATCACAAGAAAATAGATAATAAAGATTTTAAATTTGCATTTTTGCACTTCAACTTTTGGTTTTAGAGGGAAAATGTTTTGTAAAATGCTCTTGAAAAATGCTCTTGCAATGCTCTTGCTCTTGCTCTTGCTCTAATGCTCTTGCTCTTGCTCTAATGTTGCCAACTTTTATTTTAATCAAATTTTCTTCATGCATTATGCAAGTTCTTTAAAAGCGCTATCAAAAGACAAAGCGCTGCCGGAAAGCTGAAATTGCAGTTATAACTTTTGAGATTGTTGCTTACTTTGAGATTTTTGCTCTACATTTGGCATACAATAGTAAAGCAGATACTTCCAAGGGAATTATCTCAGCTCGAAGTTGAGAATCGATTCGATAAAATAAAACGACTAAAGCTAAAGTTCTCGTCGTAAAAAAAAAGCAATGTTTGGCGTATTTTTTCCAAAATTTTTCTTTGTTATTCTTTAATTCTAGATTCAAATTTAAATAGCCAAAAAAAACATTCGTTTGGCTTTAAAAATAATAAAATCCCAATCTCGAAAGTAGGATTTGAGCCGGGGAAGAGTGGGGAAAAGAAGAAAAAGGAAGAGTTCTCTTTTGAATTCTTTTCTTCAATTTCCATCTCTTTCACTCAATGTTTCCCATATTTCCTCAGGCTTTTCTCTTCTTTTTTACCCTCTTTTACTCTATGTTCCCCTTGTTTTTCCTATTGATCTTTAGCTAAGCACAATTTCTAGAGTTTGTTTTACGTTTTTTTGGACTTTACTAACAGGCTTTTGGAAGGGAAAATGAATTTTCTAAAGAATAAAATTCTTTACTTTGTGCTTCACTAAACGCATGCACTTTCGTGCACTTGGTTTATTGTTTTCATTAAATTTAATCTCATTTAAACAAGGCAGAGTCTATGATATTATTTGTTCGCTAATATGTGATTGCTAATATGTGCAATTCTATTCTAATAGTTTTTCTAATCAAAGTAAAATGTCTTCTAGAAGCTCTAGAAGTTCTAGAAGTTCTAGAAGTTCTAGAGCTTCTAGAACTTCTAGAACTTCTAGAACTTCTAGAGCTTCTAGAACTTGGATTAGCCAAAAGAAACGCGTTCTTCTCAAAGACATATATTAGGTTGTCCAGTTATGAATGCACGCCTGCTCTTCAACAACTTGAACAGCATTACAGCATTACAACAGAGCTTTACACTTTTATCAAACCCAATTTTCTATATGCTATTCAGGATTTCTTATTTTATTACAACTTTTCGTGTTTTTGAGGTCCTTTAAAGCTCCTTTAAAGCTCCTTTATAGTTCCTTTATAGTTCCTTTCAAGCTTCTTTAAAGCTCCTTTATAGTTCCTTTATAGTTCCTTTCAAGCTCCTTTAAAGCTCCTTTAAAGCTCCTTTATAGTTCCTTTCAAGCTCCTTTATAGTTCCTTTATAGTTCCTTTCAAGCTCCTTTAAAGCTCCTTTAAAGCTCCTTTATAGTTCCTTTATAGTTCCTTTCAAGCTCCTTTAAAGCTCCTTTAAAGCTCCTTTATAGTTCCTTTATAGTTCCTTTCAAGCTCCTTTAAAGCTCCTTTATAGTTCCTTTATAGTTCCTTTCAAGCTTCTTTAAAGCTCCTTTATAGTTCCTTTCGTCAAACCAATTTCTGATTTAATTTCTGTGTTTAGATTTGATTTCTTTAGATAAAGCCAGTGTCGGCGATGGTTTCAACGATTTCGAGAAGGAAATTCATTTTTGGGAGATGAGGACCACCGGCCACCAACGATCGATAATGCAGTACTTAAACAGGCGATCGAAATTGATCCTCGACAAACTACACGTGAACTTGCAGAAATATTTCGAATAAGCCCTCAAAAACGCGCATTTATAACTGGACAACATAATATTTAAGTTTTTTTTTAAGTTGTAGGTTGTTTTTCTTCTAAAACTTATTAAATTGTTAAAGATAAAGCTTTTTTTCTTTTTTACTAATCGATTTGGATCAAATTTGTTTTGATTTTAAGATGAAATTGGATGTTTTCAGTGTGGATTGTACTCTTTCTCATGTTTTTTTTTTCTTTTGAGTTAGACACTCCTCGAAATATTGTCAACAGGAAATATTGTTCATATGACTGGGAAAAGAGACAACTGAACAACTAAATCTCTTCGTAAAACTCTCAATTTCACTCATGCATTTCACAAGTTTGTTTATCCATCGAAAAGTTGATGTACTTTTTTTTGTACAGCCTTTAATTCTTGTAATCGTTTTTATTGAACAAAGTGAAATGAATTTTATTATTTTTAAATTCAATTTTCTTTACAGATCTTTTGATTATAGATCTTATGATTATAGATCTTTTGATTACAGATCTTTTGATTACAGATCTTTTGATTACAGATCCTTTGTTTATAGATCTTTTAATTACAGATCTTTTGTTTATAGATCTTTTGATTACAGATTCAATTTCCTTTACAGAAATTTGCATATTGCACTTTTGAGTGAGTCTATAAGAAATGCACTTTGTCAACAAAAAAAATTGAAAAGAATTCCTTTGGGAAGAGTTGAAAATCGAATTCCTCTTTTCTTTTCAACCGATTGTTTGCCTCTGAAAAACGAATTTCTTGCATAAAGCTCTTTTTGCAACTTTTTCCTTCCTAGTTCATGCTTTTTTGTGCTCATTTCCTTTGTTCGTTTGTTCGTTTGTTTCTTTGTCAAAACAATCGCTCATCTTTACATTCAAATATTCTCTAACTAAACTAAAATGTGTCTAATTATTATGTGTAAAACTTTTTCAATATCTTCTCTTATCTGTAATCATCTCTTTCTGATCATCTCTTTCTGAGCCAATCCTTTTCTATTCAGGCCTTTTTTTTTAAATGGAGATGTATCTGGCCGACGACTACCCAAGTTCAGAAACCCCAAAAACAGAGCTCATCACCGATCCACGATTTTTACCTGTAGGTTTTGATGATTTTAAATCTAGTGATAAATCTCAACTTGAGATGAATGCTTTGATGATTCCAGGACGATGAGCGAACCTTTCCCGCAATTTCAATGGGATCCGCCATGTTGGGGATAACGATGGCCGGCTTTGTGTGCATCATTTTCTATATCTTCATCAAATTTGGTCAAGAGAATCGAGCAGAGAAACGATGGGGATCGGTGAGCGTTTTTTTTTTATGGTAAATGAATTCGATTTTAAGCTAAAGAATGGGATTGTATTTTCCCCGGATAGTCGTGCACCGTAAGCTTTGCCTAAATTGCTCGAAATCTCGAAAGCCGCTTATCAGAACCTATCAATGTATCAGAAAATGTAGGTGACGATAAGATTTTGTGGGGGATTAGAGTGTTGAGTTACTGTGAAAGCTGGCGGTGTAAAGTGAAGCGTTTAAGCAATTGCTTTTGCTAATACTTGAAGAGATCGTTTAAAGGGCTTGGGTTTTTTTTCAAAAACTGATCTTTCTTTGATTATTTGGGATCGTTTTGCGTCTCATGAAAGCGAATCGAACGAAAAGTTCAAGCAGCTTCAATGGGATTGTTTTCTTGTTCCTGGAGGCACTACGAAGTTTGTTCAATGTGCAGATGTGGCTTGGAATGATCCTTAATCCTTGGATCCTTGGAATTAAGGCACTGATTTTACGAGGATTAGATTTTGTTGAATCTGAAGGCACAAAAGGTGGAAACCCAACATCAACTTAATGGACATCTACTCATCTACTCATGGAATGGAATGGACAACTTAAAAGGGGGTTGCTGATGCTTGAGATTCAATTTCGAAAGATCATTCAAGTCATCCTTCAAAAGCTGTAGTGTTGGAATTGATCGAAGTGATGCTGGTGACCAGTTCATTCACTGTTTTAAGCCCAATAGCCTGATTCCCAAAGGACTACAGGACTACAGAACTACAGGACTACTGGACTACTGGACTACTGGACTACTGGACTACTGGACTACTGGACTACTGGACTACAGGACTACAGGACTACAGGACTACAGGACTACTGGACTACAGGACTACTGGACTACAGAACTACAGGACTACTGGACTACAGGACTACAGAACTACAGGACTACAGAACTACAGGACTACTGGACTACTGGACTACAGGACTACTGGACTACAGAACTACAGGACTACTGGACTACAGGACTACAGAACTACAGGACTACAGGACTACAGGACTACAGGACTACTGGACTACAGAACTACAGGACTACTGGACTACTGGACTACAGGACTACTGGACTACTGGACTACAGTTAGAGATCGATAAACTTCTGGATCTTACTTCAGCAAATCTTCTCGATTTTTGTCAAGAAACAGAAAGGATTTCGTACAGAAAGGACTGTGGGAAAGGATTTCGATTTGATTAGTTGATTTAGATTTTTAAATTTCTGGTTTTCGGTTATTTTCCTGGTTATTTTCCTTATTTTCATAAATAAATGAATAGAAAAATGTTTCTTTAATGAGTCCTGATTAACTTATATTTTCTAGTTTTAGTCATGTAAATGGAAATTGAAAAAATAATGACCCCGGGGCTACTGTTGCAGCTTTTACTTCAGTTAATTCTCAATTCTCAAGCTCTCAATTCACAAAATTTCAGCCAAAAACCTCAAAGCCAAAGCCATTCGTCGTCGAGGAAGTCCAATCAGCGCCAGCGTCGATTTGCAGTTTGAAACTGATCGATGAACAGCCAGAAGTCGTTTGATTGTCTGATTGATCTTTAGATTGTATCTTTTTTGCTCATAATTTCTCCAAAAGATATTCTTTTTCAATTTTTGATACGGGTCATTGATCTTGTCCATTTGGTGCTGAAAATAAATGATTTAAACTGAAAAAAAGTCTTTGAACTCTTTTTCTAGATTGTTTTGATAAAAAGCCAAATTTTTTTCTGACTCATCCAAGCATTAGACTCTCTCTTTTTGAGTGGTCCTTTCCTCATATTTGAATATGGCTTATGGGGTCATCAAGAGCTTTCCTCCCTTTTCTCTTTCACTCCTTCAACAGCTCGATCACTCAAATGAATGGATCAGCAATGGAGGAATCAGAAAAGAGTGAAGGACTGTTTGTTATCGTCTTTCTCTTTTCTATATTCTCTTTTCTATATTCTCCTTTTCCCATCAGAAACCCCAGAGGCACGAGCCTAAGCAGATTAGTCTTGGCAATAGAAGGAGAAAGCTCACCTTCACCTCAAACTATTGCTTCCTCATTTTTTGCACAATTCAAAAGTCTTTTTCTTCTTCAATGATGTGGCTGGCTATCAATCAATTTCTATTGTTGACAGGTGAGAGTTTAGAATAATGGTAGACTTTCAAAGTACAGTAGTACAGTAAAAGTACAGTAGTCACACTGTACTGTCTCTAACCAGTGTACTGTATTTGGGTACTGTAACGGAAGTTTCCTCTTATCGGAAAGTTTCCTCTTATCTCCGCTTTCTAAAATGTTGAAGCTACCGTAATCTTGTCTCACTTTTTGTCCAATTATCCGACCAATCTTTCAATCATTTCCTGAAAGACACTAAAGACTTAGCTTCAGAAAAAGCTACCGTATTCCTTCCTCTACTAAAATAGAGGAAGGATTACGGTAGTTTTAAGAAAGATAAATCGACTCTTTCCTGATTTTCTGATTTCTCTTTCCTAAAACGTGTTAATTTTGAAGAACTATCATACCGTATTTCTTTGAATAGAAGACTGGGTAAAGAGTATCATCGTGTACTCGATTTATCGATTTATAGGCTGTTTTAAGCCCAATAGCCTGATTCCTAAAGGACTATAGTTACTTAATACTACAATTACTTAAAGGACCTAAAGGACTACAGGACTACAGGACTACAGTTAGAGATCGATAAACTCCTGGATCTTACTTCAGCAAATCTTCTGGATCTTCTCGATTTTTGTCAAGAAACAGAAATCTTTGAGAAAGGATTTCGATTTGGTTACCGTATTTCTTCGAATAGAAGACCGGGTAAAGAGTATGATCGCGTACTCCTGCGTAGCAGCCCTTTTTAAAATTTCTTTTCTGCATAAAAGCTTTCAATCAAGTGCTATAGAGCTGGAAAATGGCTCAAAAATACCACATGAGCTAACAGATTTTTGAGTCATTTTCCAGCCCTATAGCACTACATTGAAAGCTTTTATGCAGAAAAGAAATTTTAAAAAGGGCTGCTACGCACGAGTACGCGATGCTACTCTTTACCCGGTCTTCTATTCGAAGAAATACGGTAGATTGCTTTCTCATTTGAACACAACTATCATAATCTTGTATAGTTATGATATTTGTTGAATGTCTAAGCTTTAAATGTCTAAGTTTAAATGTCTTTAAATGTCTAATGTAATCAAACGTTTGCATAGTACCTGAAAAAAAAAATAAACTATCAAAGCACAAACAACTAACAAATTTGTCCAAGACCAATTTGTACAAAAAAAGTGTAAAAACAAACAAAACACTCGGATCCGTGGAAAGGTCAATCTGGTGGAGAGAAAAGCCGAGAAATGGAAAGGAGTCGGATTTCGAGAGGATTTTGGCGAAAGACTTCAGAAAATTCGGACAAAAGATCTCCATTTTTGGGCCATCAATCCTAAAATCTATTGATTTTTGTTGAATATTGACAAAATATTGACAAAATTTCTCATATTTCTTGATAATTTCTTGGTATTTCTTGAGAATTCCTTGATGATGATCCCGTCAAGTGTAAATTTAACGACAATTCAGCGGATAATGCAATGTAAGCTTTGATTTCGTAAATTCTAGAATGTTTTTACTTTTGTAAATTTCATTATAGAATTATTTGTTTGTCTATTTCATTGCCCATTCTTTCAGTAGTCCTCCGCCTTTCATCAGCTCAAGTTTGCCCGGCCGGCTTTGAGTCAACTACAGATCAACAAACGTGCACAAGTGCTGATGTAGGTTTGAATAGGCTTGTCAAGCCAAATATTCTTTGTTTCGTTATGGTTAATTGGTTAGCCAATTGGTTAGGAGGCTTATCTCCTAGCCAGAAGATCAAGAGTTCAATCCCAATAGCTAGAAAGAAGTTAGTTAAAGCTGTTGGGATTGAACTGATATTCTGGCCTTCTGGCCACTTGATCTTCTGGCCAAGAGATGCTAGAAAGAAGTTAGTTTTAAAATCTCCGTATTTCCAGGACTGTCTTGGCATCACCAACACTGATAACTTCAACTGTGTGAATAATTATTGTTGCAAGAGCTTGAGAACCAATTGTAAGTTCAGAATGAGATTAAAAAATCAAGATAAAGTTTTCAAAGATATTTAATTTAAGGATTCCAGGGAATTTAAGGAAGACAGAAGAAAGATTGGTATTTCAGTTTGTGGAGTCAACGAGGTGTCGATAGCCGGCGTTTGTTATCCAGTGGCAAGTGCAGGTTGTTTGAGCTTTGCATTCTATCTGATAAGATCTAATAAGATTTGAAATCAAAAAAATGGTTTTTGCATCAAGTTCTTCACAGCTTTAATATAAAATTCGTTTCATTTTCAGGTTCTGATTGCATCTATTCTTCTCAATGTCAACCGTCTCATTTGATTTGTCGAAACAATATCTGCATCGATGAAAATCGTAATCTTTATTCTCTTTTTAAAAATGTTCTTCGCGAAAAGTTGGAAGGTTTGAGTTTCCAATAGAAATAACAACGGGATTCAAGTTAACTTTTTCAGCTGAATGCATGGATCCAAATCAAACACCGGAAAGACTTGATGGATTGGTGAAGAGTTGTTTGGATGAGAGGTGTTCGCCTGTAAGTTCAACTCAATTCAAACTCTTAGAAAAGAAAGAAAGGAAAGAAGAGAAAGAAAGAAAAGAAAGAAGAGAAAGAAAGGAAAGAAAAGAAAGAAAGGAAAGAAAAGAAAATAGATTCAAACTTCTGTCTAGAGTTGTGCTTGAATTTGTAAACTTTCAAATTCCCCGTTTTAGGGTTTCAATTGCGAATACCATCCTACATTTATGGGCGGTGACTATATTTGTTGTGGACATTATGACGTGCGATATAGTTACGATTATGGTAAGTTTCGCAATCTTTAATTTCAACTAGATTTTTAGGAATCGTGCGATTCTATCCAGGAACGAGGCTGCCGCTGGAATGCTTTGAGGTTTGAGTATGCAAAAATGACAATAGCAAGAGCTTGATAGCAATAGCAAGAGCAAGAGCTTTTGTCCTGGATCTGAGCCTAGTTTCACTAACTGTTAAATTTAGCAAAAAGAGTTAAATCTAACAAAATTGCTTTTTCATTTAGCGTTTAGTATTTAGGAATTGCTTTGCAAATTGCAATTGTTAAATCCATCTAGCAAAATTGCTAGATCTAAATAGATTTAAATAGATGCCAAATTTGCCAAATGTTAGATGCTAAATGCTCTCATTGCTTATGCTAAATAGTTTGGTGAAATCCTAGAGTTGGCTAGCTCAGGCTTAGGTTTGGTGAAATCCTAGAGTTGGCTAGCTCAGGCTTAGGTTTGGTGAATCCTGGGTTGGCTGCCAGGCTTAGGTTGTGAAATCCTGGGTTGCAGCTCAGGCTTGGTTTGATGAAATCCTGGAGTTGGCTAGCTCAGGCTTAGGTTTGATGAAATCCTGGAGTTGGCTAGCTCAGGCTTAGGTTTGGTGAAATCCTGGAGTTGACTAGCTCAGGATTAGGTTTGATGAAATCCTGGAGTTGGCTAGCTCAGGCTTAGGTTTGGTGAAATCCTGGAGTTGGCTAGCAGAAGCCAGTCTAGATGCAAATCTTAAGCCAATTCCATCTCTCACTAACAGTCAAATCAAAGTTGAGGCTAGTTTTGTCAAATCAAAGTTGAGGCTCTTTTAAACCATCCAATCATCATGAAATCTTCTCGTTTTCAGTCTTACCAATGCCACTTACTGGATACTCCTTATTGTGTCTACAGTGAACGCTACGAACACAATGTGTGCTGCTCAACTCAGAATTGTTAAAAAGACTTTTGATTTTTGTTATAAATTTTTGTTATAAATTCACTATCAATCAAGTCACCTCACTTTTTTTTCGACCAAATTCTTTCTTTCTTTGGAATTTGCCGGGTATTCTTGAATTTCTCTTGATGTTCTCTTGAAAGAGTTCAGTTTTTTCAATATGAATCTTTTATTTTCAGTTATTAAATAAAACTTTTGTTTAATATTTCTTCATGAATTTAAAAGTTTTTGTTTATGAATGAAGTTTAAAAGTTAAAAGAAAACCCTTTAAAAGTTCTCGTTGAACCCAAAAATTTCGTGCAGATTTTGTCATTCGATCACGCTCAAGAATGAAAGAATGCTATTTTTAGACGGACTCGCCACTTCTAAAGAGCAATCGAAAAATGACAGAGAATGATCGATGAGAACCCAAATTTGGAGAAAAGAAATCGGTTTCGATTCTCAACAAATGAATTTCAAAGATTCGAGAGAAATCGCTGATTTTTTTTGCATCTTAGAGGAGTGGTATTGGTTGTTTTTTTGACTGGAAAGATTAAGTTTGTTTATCTTTTCTTTGTTCATTAATTGTTTATCTTTTGTTTCTACACTAATTCTTTATCTTTTGTTTGTTAATGCTAGTTTTTTCTTTAGTAAATGTTATTGATCTCTTGTTTTTTAGATAAAAGATCGTTGGTCGCTTTCTGCGTACGAGAAAGGCCAGATTGATGCAAATGATGAATCGATCAGGGAAATGGCAAACGATGAATCGATCAGGGAAATTATTTTAAAGCGTGCGCTGTTCACTACTTGAAAAACAATGGCAACTCAACTCCAGGACCAAAGCCAAAGCTTGCCAAAGCCAAAGCTTGCCAAAGCAAAGCGACAAATTGTCAACAATATTCACTGAAAGTTAATCAATGAGATTATCAATGAAAAGCTGAAAATCAATGCTTTAAGGATAACAATTTAGCGAGCCAGATCTCAGACACATCTCCAGATCTCCGACACATCTCCAGATCTCCGACACATCTCCAGATCTCCGACACATCTCCAGATCTCCGACACTCTCCAGCCCGACACCAGATCCCGACATCTCCAGATCTCCGACACATCTCCAGATCTCCGACACATCTCCAGATCTCCGACACATCTCCAGATCTCCGACACATCTCCAGATCTCCGACACATCTCCAGATCTTAACGAATGATAGCGTATTGCCTGAGAAGTACACTCATTCACCCAGTACAAATATTTACATCCTTTTAAAATACAATATCCCTATCATCAAAGAGTGCAATAATATAATTTTATTCGAAAATAACCTTCTGGACGTTTGGAGTAAATGAGCTCATCTGATTTTGATCCAAGTTTCATCCTAATTAGTTACAAAACTGTCTTAATCGTTCGTCTTTCTCAAATCACAAAGCTGTTTCCTAGTTGATAATCTTTAAAAGGTTCATTTCTTAATTGAGAATGGTGGAATTGAATCCTTGACCTCGTCAGATACAGGGCTCTTAACCAGTCGACGATGGCAAACTTTGCATAACTTTTTCTACAAGTCTTTTCTCTGCTGATCACAAAAGAAAACCCGTTTCTCCTTTTTTCGTTTCATCCTTTTTTTCTTCTTCTTAATAAAGCTTTTCCCTTTTCTCTATCCACTTTTCTTTTCAAAGGTCATTTCTCTTCATCACTACCCTTTTTCTCACCGATTTTCTTATAACATTTATTCTCTTTGTTAATCCGTATTTCAGAAATGCGTCTAGTGTTTTTATTTTTCTTCTATCAAGTCTACGGACAACGATCTTTGATTTTTGAGGTATATTTTTGAGGTACTATTGGGTTGTCCAGTTATGAATGCGGGTTTTTACTATTTTGTAAATTTCTCAAGATATCGAACAGGTGTATATAAGTGTTAAATAGCTTTTAGTCTTTAATAGCAATAATAATAGCACTATTTTAACAAGTGAAGACTATTTTAACCATAAAACAAGTGAACAAGTGAACAAGTGAACCAGCTAAACCCATTCAACTATTCACAAGGTTCAAGTGAATTTTAAACGTACTCTAAAATGCTTTAAAAGTCTCAAAGATTGTTTTAAAGCAATCCAGGCATACATTGAGCAATCTAGACACCGTATTCTACAAAGTTATTCAAGGCTATAGTTAATTTATCGTTAAGCTAGGCGAGTCAAAGCGAAGACTAAGCTATTGGGTTGTCCAGTTACTATTTTGTAAATTTCCCAAAATATCGAACAGATGTATATGAGTGTTATATATCATTCGAAAGATGAAGATCTCCTCTACATTTTGGAATAAAAAAGTTTTTGAATTCATTCAACTTTTTTGGGAAATTGACTGCACAAAGGGAGAGGTCGTTTTCGAAAAAAAAAAACCCATTTCAGATTAGCTATTCCTCAAGTTTTATGGTGTAAAATAACCGCCCAGAAAAGAAAAGAAAAGTAAAGATGCTCTGAAATTGTTATATTTTTAAAAAAAGTTGTATTGATATATCTATTGGTCAAACATCAAACGGTTAACTCAATTTGAGCAGAGCCAAAACTTGATCCAAAGGCACCCTTCCATTTTTTGGTCACCTCTTCTTCTGTGCAGTCAATTTGCCCAAAAGCTGAACAAATTCAAAAGCTTTTTATATCAAAATGTAGAGGAGATCTTCAGCTTTCGAATAATATAACTGGACAACCCAATTGCTTTGATTTAAAGCTGGGTTTGGCTTTGATTCTTGGACTCAAATAAATCAAGAGATCTTCAGCTTTCGAATATATCTTTTTCTTGATTTCGGTATCTTGAGAAATTTACTGAGAAAAATAGTAAAAAACGCGCATTCATAACTGGACAATCCAATAGATTTTCGCAAATCTAACATGTTTACAATACTTTTCAAATTTAGCGAGCTTGCCAAAAGAATCCGATGCTTGCATTTTGTCGTGAGAAAGCGATCACCGAACGATCAAGGGTTAACAATGCGGATACAACTGGTAAAATCAAATCTTTATGTCTATGCAAAAGGAAAATGATAAAAGATGATTAAAGAATCATTATTAGCAATCATTACCAGATTCATTTTAGTCTCTTTGCTAGCTCCAACTAAGCCTCTTGAAATCATTCTGCCCCCACCTGTTCCCGGATTTGTTACAGGTTATCTTCTTTTTGTAAATTTGGTTTAATTTACCTTCAGAGATCTGTTTTCAGAAACTCCAAAACCAGAAGAAACCACAAAAATCGTAATCCAAACAACAGCAACACCAAAAAGTGAGGGGAAAACGATTTCAGCTCCATTTGGCTTGGTTCCTTTACCCAAACCAACTCCAGTCACTGCTGAGGTTTGTGAAGATAGAAAAATGAATTTGTAAAACCAAACAAAACAAAAAACAAACAATGACATTTCAAGTTTTTGATTTGATTTCAGGAAATTCTCGAGGAAGCTGAAGAAATCTTGAACACAACAACGAAACGACCAATAAAGAAGACACTCGAAAGTGATGTGAGAGAGTAAATTTGAATCTGAATTCGATTCGAATTCGAAATTAAACTTTAAAAGTTTTCTGATAGAATTTCTACCAATTTCTATCAATTTCTACCAAATTTCTTTTGAATTTCTTTTGAATTTCTTTTCGTTTCGTTTCGTTTTCGTTTAAATTTCTTTTGAATCCCTTATCATTGTTTAGACTCACGTTCTTGTTTTCGTTTCCGAGTTTTGCGTGATTGGAAGAGAGCGTTTTGTGAGGAAATGTCATGGGGAAATCGAGAGAAATGAGGTGAGCGGATGGGTGAAGGAAATCGAATGGAGTTGATCGAATGGAGTTGATCGAATGGAGTTGATCAAATTAAATATTGATTCAGATCGATTTCTGCAAGTCCTATCCCCCAGCTTGTTCGGGCACCGCCGGTGTGATACCCGTGTTGAGCTATTGTGGACGGTTCGTTAATTAATCGTTAATCGTTTCAAAATCGAATTTCAAAATCGAATTTCAAATTCAAATTTCAAAATCGAAAACTTTACATAGCACAAAAGCCTCTTTACATAAAAAATCCCTTTTCTTTTTCAGCTACTTTATGGAATATCCGAAACTCTGTCGTCGAAACAAGATCCACGAAGTTGCGTTACCGGTTTTTTTCTTTTTTAATTGATTTTGTGAAGCTTACGAATTTCAGTTCTGTTTCGCTTTCGAAAAGTTTTGTTTACCCGAATTGGAGAATCGACCGAAAGTTGAAAAAATTGCGGTAAATTGAGTTTTATTCTTTTTGAACTATTAGGGTGGTGCAAAAGAAACTCCCGATTTGACGGGAAATTCAAAAAAAGATGGCGTTCGATGGTGACATGATCACAATGGAATATTTTCGCAAGATCTCGAGCAGATTGGCATGGATCGGCCTGAATAACGTCCCTCAGCTTGGCTTCGTTCACGACTTCTGGCCTCGAACCGTGCTTGTAATCTTCCAAAGTCTCGTCTCCCTCTCGGAATCGTTTGAAACCAAGTCTGACACTGCCTGAGGGACAAACTGCCATCACCGAAAGCAGCACAGAGAGGAGAGCAGCACAGAGAGGAGAACAGCACAGAGAGGAGAGCAGCACAGTCTGCTGCGATTCGGCAGCAGACTTTCCAATTTTGAAGTTAAACAGTAATGCTGCTCGTAGCACAAACCTTTGCTCGACTATGATCTAAATAAAAAAAATATAAGCATTTTTAAATAAAATAAACAATAACCAAAAAATTCAAATGTCGAAATAAATAGCAAACAAATATGCGAACAAAACATAAAAAATAATGCCGTTAGCATCGCTCGTTTCTGATAAATGAGAGCTGATACCCATCGGCAGTTTCTTTTGCACCACCCTAATGGATAACTTTCAGTCTTTAACAACTCCGAAACCCAGTCTGCAAAGATGTGAGGATGTCGTCGAGGAAGCGAAAAAGGTTTCGAGCGTTTTAAGGAGAGAAAGAACAGTGTTTTGTAGTATTTATCTACTATTTCGTTAGGCTTAGGCATTACTATTGTACAGTAGTTGTAGCTACCGTAAATACTGTAATAGTACCCCACCCCCCTCGTACAGTCGCGTAGTCGCAAAAGCTTTTTAGTATTTCATTTTTTTCAAAGCGCCCGTACTTTCAAAAAATGCGTCTTTAGTATCAAAAAATAGCTGAAATTCAGGGCTATTTTTTGATACCAAAGATAATGACGGTGCGGAGCATCGCGTAGTCTAGGTTTGAACGCGTTTTTCTCGACACTGGTTTATGCTACAATGCGCGTTTAGGTATTAAAAAATAGCCCTGAATTTCAGCTATTTTTTGATACCTAAGCGCGCATTGTACCATAAATCAGTGTCGAGAAAAACTCGTTCAAAGCCAGACTACGCAACACTCTGCACCGTCATTATCGGGGTGGGGTACTATTACAGTATTTACGGTATGTTATTGATATGTTATTGCTTTAAGTACAATATTGATAGGGAATTTCAACTGGGTGTTGGCTATATAATATGAGTGGTTACATATGAGTGATATGAATGTATATGATATGAGTGAACATTTGTCACGGGTTATTTCTCAGAGCAGATTTCCCAGAGGCTTTTATGAGAAGTAGTTGAAAATAAGCTTTTATTTGAAACGGAGAACAATTCAGAGTTCAAGCGAATCCAAAAAAAGCAAAAGAAAAAGGTAGATAGAGAGAATTGAGACTCGAACTAGAGAGGCTTGTATTCCAGCCTTGTATTCCAGCCTAGTATTCCAACCTAGTATTCCAGCCTAGTATTTCAGCCTAGTATTCCAACCTAGTATTCCAGCCTAGTATTTCAGCTTTGTATTCCAGCCTGCTGCTGGCCACTACTGATTCTTAAACTCTCTGGGAAATCTGCTTATAAACTCCTTTTTGATCACCTCTTTCACCTTTTTGAAATCCCATACAAAACTTTGCACGCTTATAACTTTTGACAGAGTGCTCCATAGCCAAAACGGAAAGCAGTTTCGGAATCGGCGTTGAATTCTGCATCAAATAACCCGTGGCACATATGGCCACTACACCCAGTTACCATCAATAAGCTAACAATACTTAATAAAAGTGTTGTACTAGTAAATAGTACTAGTAAATGTATCAGCACGCTAATATTTACTTAATAATACTGTCAGTATTAATAATAATAGTTTTATTAGGTTTTATTAGGTTTTGTTAGGTTTTGTTAGGTTTTATTAGGTTTTATAAAGTATTCAAGAAAAGAATATTTTGATTGCAGGTGTGCAACCCGTTCCCATCAGCATCAGACACTTTCAACACTCTTCGTTGCACTCAATTCTTCAAAAATTGCAAGAAATTTATTAATTGGCAATAGAATTTTTAAAAAAATTGAAACTTCGATTCCTCAACGATTTAATACGGGTTTAATCAATTCAATAAACTTTTTAAATCACTTGTTGAATAGCTTGTTAGATAACTTGTTAAATAACTTGTTAAATAACTTGTTAAATAACTTTTTAAATAACTTTTTGCCAAGCCAAGTTTTACACAGAAATCTGTCACTCTTTTGTGTTCATTCTTGTCAAAAAATCTTCACTTCACTGTGTTTTCACTGGTTTTTTTTTACAGAAAGTCGACTCGTTTTTAGGAGTTTACCTATAAAATGGTAAAGTTTTTTTCGACTAGTTATCAAAAATCTTGTTGAAAACCTTTTTTAATCAGAGAAATCAGAGAAATTTTCCGTCTCCGTTCCGCTAGATTATTTTTCGATCATTTTTTTTTTGATTGATCACTTTTCTTTTTCTTTTTTTCTTTTTTTTGTTTATGGATTTTATTTGAATCTTTGAAATTACAGCAATTTTATGGTGCACGAAAGCAGCAAAAACGAAATGAGTTCGATTTTTCGTGGATCTTCATCGAGTAGATCTTTCTAAAGATAAACCATTTGCCCGATTCGTTTTTTTGCCATTGTTTCAGAAGATTCTTTTGGCATTTTATTGTCGATTGCTTTAGTTTTAAGCTTTATTTTCTTATTTCTATAAATCTATAAAGATACACTACTGGACAATGAAATATCATATTTGAAAAAAGATCGTCACTTTCGCAAGTCTGTAACTCCCTTGTCTTTACCGTATTTCTAAATATTAATATTACCATTGTGTAGCCCTTGAAAAGAGCTTTCAGAAAATGTTTAACACTAATAGTTTAGACTCAAAGACAAGGGAGTTACAGACGCGCGAAAGTGACGATCGCTTTTCAAATATCATATTTCATTGTCCAGTACTGTAGTTATCTATAAATCTATAAATCCAAGTGCTTTTCAGTATCAATTTTGAAGAAAAGTTTGAAAGGGTTTTATTTGAAAAGATTGAAATTGAAAAGATTTGCATTGTCAAGGTGTATCGAACTGCCAGTTAGAAGATAATATTAGGTTGGTGAATTGAAAACTGCGAGACTTATAGATTTATAGATAACTACAGTACTTTGAACTAAAATTTATTCAACATAAAACCATAAATCCATTCCAAATAATTTCCATTATTATTGACGACTTCTGCCCATTTGACAGGCAATTTGCGGATTCCTCTTTCGTAGTAGGATTTTGGTTTTGAATCGAAAAACTTTCAAAGCCAATTTTTGACTGCTTCTTCAAAATCGAAGTGTTCTCCCGCAAGCTCATTACTCATGATCCGGAATAAATAGTAATCAAAAGGTCCGGACTGTATGGGGAATGCGCCAAAAGTTCCCAAAAAGGCTATTTATTTTAGAGCGAGTCAGTTTTGCAACATGAGGGCGCGCGTTGTCGTGGATGAGAACGATCTTTGACTTGGAGGGCCTATTCTCCTTCAGGGATTCATTCACCTTTCCCAACTGCCCACTGAATTTGATTGCATTAATGGTCGTCTTGCTGACAATAGCCCGCAGTTTTCGTCTTGCTGACGTCTTGCTTGTCTTGCTGTCACATATGACAATAGCCCGCAGTTTTCAATTCACCAACCCAATATTTATTATACTTTATTGGATTGTCTTTCTTTATATAATAATAATTATACTTTAAAATATAAGGAATATTTTAAAGTATAATTATTATTATATAAAGAACGCTAAAAGACTCAAAAGGCTCAACAATTGCTATGCGACAATGCTAGTTTGAGTCTTTTGGCTTTATGTAATAGAAGAAGTTGGTAGGAATGATGGGTATTTTATAAATTTACATATTCTATGAACTTTAAACTAGTTGGAATCCAATAATACAATCAAACAGTGCATAAGTTAATTGAATAAGTTACTATTGATAAGAGCTATTAATTGAGATCAAAAAATACAAGCTTAACAGTGCAATTAGGGTTTTTCTTGGTTTAATCCAATTCCTAGACAATTAGAATGACTTTAAAGGACCAAAAAAAAGTGATAACGATAGTTTGTTTAAGGAAATTATAGAGAAAACACTTTTGAAAGAGTGAAAAATCGAGAAATCGAGAAATCTTGAGAAAAGACAGAAGCCACAGCTGAGTGAAGAAGAACTCGTTCTCTTCTCCACTCTTCCTCTCCTCTCTTCCTCTCCTCTCTTCCTCTCCACTCTTCCTCTCCATTTTCTCCTTTTCGATGCCATCTTTGGATCATTTTTCCATTATCATCTTTGTGTTTCTTTTCTTTTGAAAGCTTTTCTTCATTTTCTTTCATTTCTTCTTTATTCTTCATCCATTATCATCTCTTTTTCTCTTTTAATTCCATTCAAAGCTTTTATCAGTTTTATCACTCCACCTTTTATCGATTCGTTTAGCTGATAATGACCTTTAAGTACTTTTTAAATTAAAATTAGCTTTCTAAATGAATACAGTATCAATATTGATTTTATATTCAACTTTCTAAAAAATTAAACAAATCTGGTTTAGAAGATCTAACTACAATTCTTCAAGTTTAACTTTATAAGATTGTTTTGGATTGTTTTGGATCTGTTTTGGATCTGTTTTTTTCACTGAATCATTGAATTGAGTGTAGAACTTATTTCAAAGATTTGAAATAGTTCTTATCAATAGTAACTTATTCAATTAACTTATTGCACTGTTTGATTGTATTATTAGATTCCAATTAGTTTAAAGTTCATAGAATATGTAAATTTATAAAATACCCATCATTCCTACCAACTCATTCTATTACATAAAGCCAAAAGACTCAAACTAGCATTGTCGCATAGCAATTGTTGAGCCTTTTGAGCCTTTTAGCGTTCTTTATATAATAATAATTATACTTTAAAATATTCCTTATATTTTAAAGTATAATTATTATTATATAAAGAAAGACAATCCAATAAAGTATAATAAATATTGGGTTGGTGAATTGAAAACTGCGGGCTATTGTCATATGTGACAGCAAGACAAGCAAGACGTCAGCAAGACGAAAACTGCGGGCTATTGTCAGTAAGACGACCATTAATGCAATCAAATTCAGTGGGCAGTTGGGAAAGGTGAATGAATCCCTGAAGGAGAATAGGCCCTCCAAGTCAAAGATCGTTCTCATCCACGACAACGCGCGCCCTCATGTTGCAAAACTGACTCGCTCTAAAATAAATAGCCTTTTTGGGGAACTTTTCTTTTCTTCATTTTCTTTCTTGGTTTTCTTTCTTTATTTTCTTTCTTGATTTCCTTTTCTTTCCATTTCTTTCCATTTCTTTCCATTTCTTTCCATTTCTTTCCATTTCTTTTCATAATTCTCGTTTACAGAATGTTTACGAGAATATTCCTCTCGTCAATCATCGCGCTTTTGATCGTCTTTGTTGCTGCAAGATACGAGGATCGTAAGTCAATCTTGTTCTTCTTTAATAGAACTTTAAAATTCAATTTCTTTTTCCTTCATTTCAGGATATGATCGCAATTTGATGCCTTGGGATCTGCGACCTGTGCAGAATATAATCGGCCTTTGGAAACGTACACACATTTCTGGCAGGTTTGTGAGGGAAATTTAAAGAAATCGTAAATTCTTTTATCGTAACTCCTTCAAAATCTTTTAGAACTTTAATCTAAGAATAAAATTTGAATTTGAATTGAATAATTCTTTGTTTCAGAGCCAACGAAATCCCTCCACCAGATCAAATCGATTACGCAATAAATCCAATCCCGAAATTCGGAGCTCGAGCCATTAACATTACGTGAGCAAATCAGAGCTAATAAAATCAAAAATTGTAATCTTTGCTTTGTTAGTAAAATTGATTTGATTAGATTTGATTAGATTTTTGATTAGATTTGCTTTCTTTTCGATTTTTCTATTTTTCTATTATCTCATTATATTTCAGGCATACTTATTTCGATGGAGCTGGAGCTGTGCTTCGTCATGATTACGGTTATATGCCAGTTAAGGTAAATTTACGTAGGCTTTTACTTTAATTAAATCGTCATTTCTTTAATTAACTATTCTTTAAGCTTTTCTCGCTTTTAGCAATAAATGATAATAAATAAAAGTCAATAAAATGTTTCAGTCAAATCAGACAAAAGTGCGCAAATTGTACGCCGAATATGATGCGAAAGGAAAGAAAATAAAAGAGGTTTAATGCTCGGAGAGAAGAGATTTGATATTGCATGCTATGATAGAGACATTGCATGATATAGAATTCTAACAGAATCGATAAATGCATGATGAATGTTGGGAAATCGTTTTGAATGACATCGTTTTGAATGTCGTTTTGATTTTAATGAATGAAAACTTTCAGAATGCAACTCGACGCGATCCGAGAATTCATTTAGCCTATTTAACGACAAGCTCTGAAGGTTTCAGTTTAAATTTCATATGATTGCTTGACTTTTTTCTAACTCTTACCTTGTAAAGATGAGAAATAAATCTCCTAGAAATCATTCCCTATTTTTAGGTTGGTCAATGATGGAACAAGGACAAGTCTCTGGACAAATTATGACTTTTCATTTGAAACAATTTCTCTCGAGAAGCTTCGACGTTGGCAATAGTCAAAATAGAGAACTCGAGATTAGAGAGGTAATCAAAGTTGGCTGAATATAGGCCATTAGGTCATTAGGAGATTATTAGGTAATGATTATACTATTAGGTAATGGTTATAATCATTACCTAATGGTTATAACTATAAGATAAACAAATCCTTTCAAACCTTTTCAAAACCGATTTTCAGTTTGAGCGTCAAATTGAGCAAACCGACTACAACAATTTCATCATGAAAATCCGTGCCGAGACTGCCTTCGGGACTGAAGCCTACACGGCATACTATCGACGAGTCATGGGATAAAAGAAAATTCTGATAAATCATTTTGTAATAAATCCATTTGTACTAATCAATTCTTTCAATAAATCACAAATTTTTACATTTCTTTTCAATGGACACTCGTATTTCAGCTCTTAAACTTTCTACTAGAATCGTCCTAAGGATCTTCTATCAGATCCTCTATCAGATCCTCTATCAGATCCTCTATCAGATCGTCTATCAGATCTTCTATCAGATCCTCTATCAGATCCTCTATCAGATCCTCTATCAGATCCTCTATCAGATCCTCTATCAGATCCTCTATCAGATCCTCTATCAGATCTTCTATTTTCTATCTCCAAAACAGCAATATGAAACATTTCTGTAATCTAAATTGGAAAAAAGGTAGATTAGAGTACTTCCTACAGTAAACCGCTTCCTTTTCTTCGTAATGAATGCCTTTGTTTATGTGATCAAACATCAAAACAAATCACTTACAATAGTCCCAATATTGGAGAAAATTATGGAGTATGGTATGGATATTTAGTATGGATATTTAGTATAACTGACAAGGGAATGTCAACAGGGTGTGGTGGCCAAATGAAATGAACCATATAATCACTGACGTAGAAAATATTGAAAGAATAGAAAAATTTAGAGCTTATATCGGCTATAAGCCCTTGAGAACTGATCCAAATTACCAATAGAATGATAAACATTTCAGCTTGTATCCCAAAAATCTAACTTGTGACTGAAAGCCAACTGTTACTGAATCGGTTTACTGTTTTTGCAAAGCAGCATCCTGTCAAAAGTTATAAGCGCTCAAAGTTTCGTATGGAATTCCAGGAAAAAAGATCTTGAGGTTTAAGTTCAGTTGAGAGAGATAAATGGTGGCAGAGTGGTAGTTGGATGCCATGGTGGTAGTTGGATGTCATGGAAAGATGTCATGGTGGCCGAGTGGTAGTTGGATTGGATACGAAGCAAGGAGCCTAGGGTTCGACGTTTGGAGAAGAACTGGTAAAGCTCTGACAAATAACAAAAATTGGCATTCGACGTTTGGGTTTTGTTTGTGCTTCTTTTAGCTTTGAATAGTTTGAGTGTTTTGTTGGATGGTCATCATATCTGTCGATGGGCAATGTTGGATGGTCATCATATCTGTCTTGTGAGCCGAGAAGCTCTGAAAATAACAAAAATTGGCATCTAAGCCCTAGAAAAAATTAGAAATTTAAAAATTGTGAAATGTATCCAGAGCAACGGTGTGCCAGATGATGTACGATTGAGAACGCACATAAAGAACAGTTAAACGATTCAAAGCCAAAAGAAGCTAAAAGATTCTCTAAGATGGATTTGGTCTTGTTCCAAAAGGTCACGGCAAGTGCTTGCCTTTTCCTAGCTAGCTAGGGAAAGGGTTTCCTAGCTAGCTAGCTAGGGAAAGGCTCTTCTAGCTAGCTAGCTAGGGAAAGGCTTTCCTCTAACAACAAGCGAATCAATCTGAAATGCTTATAGAATCTCTAGATTCAGTTTCAATCTCACAAAGATTCTGTTTGCAGATCGATTGTCTCTCAGTAAGGTATACAGTAATCCCGGTGGCTTTTTGTTCTCTCCTTGTTCATTAGATTCTCGTATCTCAAACTTTATACTACGTAAAAGTACAGCAATCTTTAAAAGAGTAATCTTTAAAAGATCTTCTATCAGTCATATCAGACATGATCACTTTCTACTCTTCACATTCTACTCTGTTTCCCCAGGTTTTGTCAATTTTTGTTCTTTTCAGAGTAATAGTCACGAGACAGATATCAGCTTTATGGAAAAGAAATCTGAAAAAAGAGAAAGCCTTGTTGATATTTACTCGACACCTTTTCATGTTTTATGTTTTTCTCGATCTCGAATAACTGACAGTTGTTATTGAGCTGTTATTGAGCTGTTATTGAGCTGTTATTGAGCTGTTATTGAGAGGGAAATTATCCCCAAATTCAATCAGAAAAGCAAACAAAATCAAAGGATTCAAGGAAAAGCTCAGGCAGGATTGAACTTTTCAAATCCAACCTTAATACCGTATTTTCTGTAATAGTAGTGCGCACTACTATTTTTTCAACCCCCCTCCCGCCTGCACTACTATTACAGACTGCACCACTATTACAGACGCACTACTATTATAGACTGCACTACTATTACAGACTGCACTACTATTATAGACTGCACTACTATTACAGACTGCACTACTATTACAGAAAATACGGTAACTTAACAATCCTTTAATGCAATTTTTCTCAATCCCTAAAAGACTTTTCCCTCGAGGCAAGTGACTCGTTTTTGTCACCTAAAATAACTTGCCCAGAAAAAACTAATAATTTTTCCTAAAAAGCCGAGTTGAGGTAAGAAATTTCCCATTTTTCGTATAGTTGCTATTTTAGAAGAAACGAAAATGGGAAAAGAGAAGAGATTCTTTCATTTTTTTAGCCTTTTTTGAAGTTTTTCTTTTCTCTTATCTTTCAGAACAAAAAAAAGTTTTATATCTTGACTCCGAGTTTGGAACATTCGCATCAAAAAAAAAGAAACAAAAAAGAGAAATAAAAATGGAAGAGCTTTTGGAAAATGAGATCTCTTTGAGTCAAGATTTGTTTGAGAAAAAGTGAATAGACAATGAGATCTATTTTTTTGATTATATAAATAGATTATATTACTGTTGTTAATTTTAGATAAAGTTAACATGAATCCGTTCATATTTCATTACGATACACGGTTCTGAGTCTGTAACCAGACTTGTGCCGCACCCTGTAGGTGTCTAGCTTTGGGTGGGACGGGTAGATTTGATTTGGCTTTAGATCTGGTAGTGTATGTCATGTAATGTATGTCATGATCTGGTAATGTATGTCAGCTTTTGGCCTATCCAATCAGACCAAGCTTGGCTTTGGCCTGGTAAGAGTAATATTGGGTTGTCCAGTTATGAATGCGCGTTTTTTACTATTTTGTAAATTTCTCAAGATACCGAAATCAAGATCAAGATTAAGATCAAGATCAAGATTAAGATCAAGATCAAGATTAAGATCAAGAAAAAGATATATATGAGTATTATTCGAAAGCTGAAGATCTCCTCTACATTTTGATACAAAAAGGTTTTGAATTTGTCGAGCTTTTGGGCAAATTGACTGGACAGAAGAAGAGGTGACCAAAAAATGGAAGGGTGCCTTTGGATCAAGTTTTGGCTCCGCTCAAATTGAGTTAACCGTTTGATGTTTGGCCAATAGATACATCAATCCCACTTTTTAAAAATATAACAATTTCAGAGCATCTTTACCTTTCTTTTCTGGGCGGTTATTTTCCACCATAAAACTTGAGGAATAGCTAAGCTGGAATGGGTTTTTTTTTTGAAAACGACCTCTCTCTTTGTGCAGTCAATTTCCCAAAAAGTTGAATGAATTCAAAAACTTTTTTATGCCAAAATGTAGAGGAGATCTTCAGCTTTCGAATGATATATAACACTCATATACATCTGTTCGATATCTTGAGAAATTTACAAAATAGTAACTGGACAACCCAATAGCTTAGTCTTCGCTTTGACTCGCCTAGCTTAACGATAAATTAACTATAGCCTTGAATAACTTTGTAGAATACGGTGTCTAGATTGCTCAATGTATGCCTGGATTGCTTTCAAACAATCTTTGAGACTTTTAAAACATTTTAGAGTACGTTTAAAATTCACTTGAACCTTGTGAATAGTTGAATGGGTTTAGCTGGTTCACTTGTTCACTTGTTTTATGGTTAAAATAGTCTTCACTTGTTAAAGTAGTGCTATTATTTGAAGACTAAAAGCTATTTAACACTCATATACATCTGTTCGATATCTTGAGAAATTTACAAAATAGTAAAAACGCGCATTCGGACAACCCAATACATTCATTTTAATCTACCTAAATGCTTTTGATCAAGGTTGGAAGGTTTCAAAGAGGAATATTGATTGATTATTGCTTACTGCTTATTGCAATATTGTTATTTACTTTCTTTAGCTCTCAAATTTCCCCTTCTACTAGAATAATTTCTATAAAATATCAAAAAAACGATAGAATTTCCTAAATTTATTACTAAATATATTGAGTTATCAATAATTTAGTAATAGATTTATGAAATTTTTTTCTCTTTTTAGACATTCATTTCCCATTTGAATTCATTAAAAGAAGGGGAAAAAAGGAAAGATTTTTGGATGAAGGTTTCTTCTTTTTAAAGGAAATCGAGTGGGCGTTTGTTATTTCGAAAAAGAAACAAAAAGCATTAAAGACAGCTGGCGATTGGCCAGTTAAAAGAAAAAAAATGGGAATCGATTTGAATACTTTCATTGAGCCTATGGAAAGTTACAGATTTTTACAATTTAAAACACTAGATTCTAGGCAACTTGTGCATGTGGAGACCAAACTATAGATGCATACTCTAGAATGAGTAATACAGTAACAGTAACTTCACAGTAACAGAGTTACTGTGAAGATTTTTAATTTCTTTACTGTGAAAATTAAGTGTCAATCTTAAATCTTTGTATAAGTTTAAAGAGTTTTTAAATTATAAATTAGTAAAAGTAAACTTGAAGGTTGAAAGTGTTTGATCGCACTTGCGTTAGACCCATTCTAGAGTATGCATCTATATTTTGGCCTCCACATACACAAGTTGCCTAGAATCTAGGCTAGAAATGCCTAGATCTCTCGCCTAGAAAAAAAATCCAGCAGAGATTTACGAAGATAGCTCTATGGAAAATCGATTTTTGCCAAATTTGCATACTTTAGTTACACAGATAGACTCAAAATTTTTGATCTTAAACACCGCCGCTTGGTCACGGATTTAATAGAATGTTTCAAAATTGTAAATTGCCAGAATTTGCCAGAATTTGGAATCGACTCCCCAGAGTTTTGAGAGAGTCCAATAGTCTCGAGGTTCTTTAAATTATCTGTAGATGGTCTTGATTTTAGAGACTCTAGTCGACTCTTGAATTAGTCTATGTAACATACTCTTTTCCATATATTCCATCCATTATATCGTGTTGCTAAATTGGACTC